TAAATATTATGTATGTTACATGGAGAAGGGGGGCATTGAGATTGATTAAAGGGCATTGAAAAGAATACTAGCTGAGTTTCTTGTCAGTTCATCTCATTTCGAAATGACAGTAGATTTGACATATCTGTAATAGACATACATGAATAAAGATATTTTGAATTATGAATAAGAATTTTTAAAAAGCTAAAGGGGCATGGCACTAAAACGGTTGGGAAACACTGACCTATATGTAAAATTGTAAAATGTCTCACCAGTATGATGACAAGTGTGACCAGCTTTGCCAAGGAGAAGGCGGAGTCGAAAATCATCATGTAGCATATTATAATTTATGAATGGCTCCAATAATAGTACGTAAATGGTACAATTATTGAAATACCGTCTCTATGTAGTTTCTCAGAAAAACTAATTTTGCTCGCTGTATTTAAAAAACATATTTAATAGCTGTATTGGTATATACGGGGGTCAGGCTTCATGAACACATCGGCACTGTGCGAATTGATGTAATGGGGTGCTCTTCTAGTGATCTTAAACCAGTAAATTTATTTTTCCAGTGAAACAAAAAATCTTTTAAAGACGGTTAAAACAAGAAATGATCTGACTAAACTATGCTATTGATAAATGTATGCATCGTTTTGTCAGTATATTGAGCTACTGCCGCACAATAACTGTTATCTCTACAATTGGCGATTAATAATTAATACTTAATAAAAATTAATAATATCGGTTGATATCGATGATGTAAAATAGAACAATACTTTCTGATATCTAAGACAAAAATATACTGAATAATCTAAAATTAATTACATTCACAATTGATAAGTAAATCAGAAATAAGTAAATATGACATAAATTAATAGTCACTGTGACTTTCCCTTAAGACAACAATGACGTTAGAAAAATAAGGCCTTATTACAAGTCCATCGAACTTGGTGAATACATTCAATCAATGAAAGCGTAGATTCAGAAACATCATTAAGTTATCATTATAAAATTTTACAATTCGCTTTACCTTTCGAAGCGTTTAAATTTTTAAATAATCGTCTCTCATTATTTTCACACAATGTTTCGTAAGCGTATCCATGAGATCAATATTTGCAAATAAAATTAAATTTTGGTCCTTCGAGCCGGATACCGGATAAATATACCATAGTGTAAAAAACAATACGAATATTACACATAACAACGTTTCTAAATCTCATAAAGATATAAACTATTTATAAATTGAATTAAAAAGAAAAACATCTAATGTAAACTACACGTCTTGGACGCACTTAAAAATTACTTGTTAAAACTTATTGACTCGAATAACTTAAACCATATAAAATTAGAGTTAATTCTAAATTGACGATATAGATACGATGAAGACAGATGATGCGGTCAAGTTATGTACACGAAACCTAAGTATACATAACATTACGCTCAATGTGTTTTAATGAATTAATTCTGTCATGCACGAAGCAAATAAAATATTAAAAACCTACTTTTGGTGGATAGGGAGCCATCCGTAAAGTACGTTACGTTAAGGGAGGTTGACAAAGTGTAACACACGGTGTCACGCTGTGTAAGGGATGGGAGCGGTCCTAACTTCGTGACGTCACATTTTAAATTCAAATATAACTGCTATGCTGGTGGTCACTCTATTCTACCAAATTTGAATTTAAAAATGAATCTGTATTATTGTAAACAATATTTGAAGAGAATACGAGCTGAGTTTCTTGTCAGTTCTCATCTCGAACGCATTCCGAACTAACGGTAGATTGACATATTATAAGAGTCTGTAATAGAACTAAATGAATAAAGATATTTTGATTTGACTTCATTCAGATACGCAATAAACAAAATATTAACTATTAAGGAAAAACTTAAGATTCTAAGTAATTAATAAATTTGTAAAATATGTGACATCATACGAGGAAGTGGGGATCTCACATTATTCACAAGGACGAGGGGAGGGGTAAAAAATAATGAATTCATGTGACAATCTTAGATGGCTCCCAAACATCGTAGACATTAGCTGCCTTTACACGTACGTGAAAGAGTCACGCGGGAAAGAATGTGCATGTAAATGTAGACAAAGAACGAGAAAGACCGCGCGCGACGCCAGAGGGCGCATTCCCGTTTACTTAAATCGTGAGCGCTTTAGCGCCTTTTTGTAATAATTTATCAATACAAAATGGTGGACATCTGAATATAGAGCGAAGACATGGTTATAGAGTTTTTGATAATTTATAAATATTAAACATTTTTGAAAGGGTTAATTTCGATAATAATTTTCATATTATTGAGAATAGGCCGGGAAAAATGTTGGGGTACTTGATACAACACGACGAACTTATTAATAATATTATCGAAGGAAAAACAGATGGCAAGAGAGGAAGGGGTTAATTTAACCTATAAATCTTACGGCAAAGTAGTTGTATATATATGTTTAATGTTTATATTTATTAATGTTATTTTATTATATTTTCTTTCTTTCTATGTATCTATCTATCTATATTTAATTGGTTTGTATTCATTAGTTGTAATTTTGTTTTAATTATTATCATTAATATTTTAAATAGTGCCCTCTCTCTCCCTCCTTTATATATATATTTTTGGTGCCACTGAAAACCAGCTGTATTTGTTCACCTAGGACATACATTAAAGCTGAGTGGAGCCATTTCAGTGCATTTTTGGATGTAAAAAATGATCATTTTATGTTTATTTTTAATTATCTACATGGTAAATTAAGTTTAATTATATGTACATTTTATTTGCTCTTATTTTTCGTTTGCTGTTTATATTGTATTTTTTACATTGCACTGAATAAAATATTTTTCTTTCAAAAACCTGTGGAATAAAAAATAGAATTTAAAAAAAAAGTTAAATATTGCGTATGTTAACTGAACTGTTAACATACGCGTTATCGCGCGCGTAAAGGTTGTATACAAAAAATAGTAAAATGCAATCGCTCACGATTGCGCGCGCTGTCTTTCCCGCGCTAAATCGCGCACGCTCTTGATCGCATGCGAAAGAATGGGTTGTGTAAAGGCATCTTATAGCCAACATTTGAAGGCAGCTAATGTCACTTAGTAAAATGCAAACACGATTGCGTGCGCTGTGTTTCCCGCGCGCTCCTGATCGCATGCGAAAGAATGGGTTGTGTAAAGGCATCTTATAGCCAACATTTGAAGACAGCTAATTTCAGTTAGTAAAATGCAAACATTGAATTTTGATTGCGTGCGCTGTCTTTCCCGCGCGCTCCAGATCGCGTGCGAAAGAATGGGTTGTGTACAGGCATCTTATAGCCAACATTTGAAGACAATAAAATGCAATCACGATTGCGCAGCCTGTCTTTCCCGCTCTAAATCGCGCGCGTGAAAGAACATGTCGTATAAAGGCATTAGAAACATTTGAATACGACAATTTCAGTCGAGTAGTAGGCTCGGCGTGACGTATACATAATTTATGTTATATTTTTAAATATACATATATGTAATACAATCACCAGGGCCCATTTAAGTTACATGTATGAGCAATTTACTTTCACCTCTTACTAGGTCGCTTGCTATCAAACAATATTAATAGCAAAATTTTAATTAAAAAATCATTAATTTATGCGTAGGAATACAAAATGTAATCATTAGTAATAATAATGAATATAAACATTCTTTAACCTTAATATAGTGATATTAATTGTATAGCATAATAGCCAATGTGTTCCAAGTTAATATATGAAAGAAAAAGACACTTATGTAGTGAAGTGTATATGACGTGGCCAAATTGCAGAATTGAACACACATATTATAATATAATATATATATATATACATATATATATATATAGATGTATTTGTAACTGTTGATGTAAATAAAGTATATATACCTATGATTGTTAGACTTCTTATTCGTTTGATTGTGCGCGCGAATCTTAGAAACGGATTAAACGATTTGAGTGAGTTTTCATTAGTGTATTGCGATCGGCTTAAAAATTTTCTGCTTTATTCCAATCGGTTTACAAACAAAACGTTTTACACAACTACCTATTGTTATTTCGAATAACACTCATGTGCTAAGCTAGTGGTAAACAACCACTATATACTTTACATTATAATATTTATATCGTATAATGCAGGGATGTTAGGGAGCTCCGTAACCGTAACCGAAACTATCGGATATCCGATATAAAATCCGAAATAAAAGTTTCGGATAATATCGGATAGGGGTGGAGCCTAAATGAGATACGTTATGTAAACATTTTATTAGCTATTTGTATTTTACATTTTAAATTCCTTAAAAATATATTATCCGTAAACGAAATTATCCGAAACTAACGGATAATCCGAAATAATTGCATATCCGCATCCGTAACCGTATCCGGTATAATAATCATTCCTTTATCCGAAGCCTATCCGTATCCGAAATTTCATATCCATAACATCCCTGATACAACCATTATACAAAATGCATATAGACATGATCAAATCTACGTTCTGGTCACGACATTTACATAAGTAATATTGCGTATATATGTACGTGTATTGCTTAATATTAAAGATAAGATATAAGAAAGTTTTTCAGTCAATAACTTCATTGTAACTCACAACACATTCAATAGACGGTACAGTGTATATCCAAACAGAATAGAATAGAATAGAAAATGATTTATTCAAATAAACTTAATTTAAGAACTTTTGAATAGTCATAACAATTTGTTTTGAGAATGCGCTTCCTAAGTCAAGAATAAAAAAAATCTCACCGAAGAGAACCAACATATATTTCATTCATTCATTCATTTTTAGATAGATTGATTCAAGAGGAAGGTTTATATATATAATGTACACCCGTGCGAAACCGGAGCGAGCTAGTATATACACAAAATAGTTGTGCTGGCAACATTGATATACGTGTAATAAAAGTTAAAACTGTACCACTCTATTAAATGTCAGTTAATATTCTATTGATTGTTTACTAAAAAAATATTTACCAATGTGTATATAGTTGTAAAATATCCATATAAAAGTCGATATACTACAAATACCTGTCTCAAATACATAGCCACCCATCTCAGCCTTCAATTTAATATCTGGAACAAAATTTACAATTTAATGTTACATATACAATTTATTATACCATAATTGTTTATCTACACATATAAGTTAAATTGAAGTGTCTGTTTGTAATATTGAAATAACCGTTTTTTACTAGATGCATTAACTGAGCAGAAGTAAATAAAACTATTGATAGTAGTGATTCCGAAGAAAGAAATATTGCCTCTTTTTCCGCTGTAACTTATTGGAGCGTATCCCCCGCGTTAAGCTTGGTCTTACTGTACATGGTTTATATAGTCATAAAGAGTATTATAAGCCTCAAGGATATAAGAGTACCCTGCTGTACCAGCTGTATTTTTTTTTCTAAAATAAAGGTACCCTAAATTACTCCTTATTACATCAGCTACCTGCCAATAAAAGTCCCGTCAAAATAGGTCCAGCCATTTCAGAGATTAACCGGAACAAACAGACAGACAAAAATTGTAAAAAAAAATGTTATTTTGGCGTATGTACCATATTTATATTCATATGCATGTAGTAGAAAACGGTTATTTCAATATTACAAACCGACACTTCAATTTTATTTATGTATATGTATAGATGTGAATATTACTTACCAATTATCAACAGCAATATTATTAAGCTTCATTTTTCTCCTCCAGTGCATCTCCGGGCTTGCACTCCTCTGTGCCTTCGTATCCTCCTCTATGGTATCACAGCCGTCGATCTCTGGTTTCTCATACAATATCTTCTTGTACAGCTCTTTCCTATCCCGTGGCGGAGCGCCCAGTCCCAAATTGTTAGAATTCGTCTTCCACTCTAGTTCTAAAATCTTGTTTCTATTTATCGGAGGCAGCAAACAATTGTTTTGACTCACCATAGAGTTAGCTTTATGCATTTTATGTATATACTCACTTTCATGATATACACTGGCCACCTTGCTTTCTATTGGACATTTGCCTACTATGACGCTTTGTCGAGCGAAATTCGCTTCCAAAATGACGCTGAGCGACTTATTAGCTATAATTTTACCCTCTGGTTCACCTTCCTGATTGTTCTGGCTGACGTTTTCATTAATTTCCATGATATGCTTCTGCATAATTTCCTTCGGCAGAGGAGGCAACGGGTTGAGACTCTCCAACCTCGTTTTCTCGTTATTCTGGTAGGCCTCATCTGACAAGTTTCTTTGTCCATTCGTCTGTTTGTTCACTATTGTGATCTGCTTCAGTGCACTCTCGTCACACTCGACCACGCTCGAAGTCACAAAATTGGGATGCGTATTACGGATGTGACGCTCCAAGTTGTCTTTTCGCCTGAATGACCGATTGCACACTTTGCAGCGAAATGGTTTCGAGTCTGGAAATAAATATATATATTGGTAGTTAATATTAAAAAATATGATTCATTATCCGACTTAAAAAAGTAGTAGGTTGAGAGCCTACTTATTTTTTATTTTTATTATATTTTTCACCGACGTCTCAATACGAATGTATCTATTTTTGTATATAATATACATTTAAAAACACAGTCAAAAGTCAAAACTTTCTTTCTAAGTGAACAAATTTCCACGATACGATACTTTTTAATTTTATTTTCGCATATTCCTTTCGTTTACGATTTACAAGTTATCAATAACTCAAAGTAAGTCAGTTCAAAGTTACATCGCCCTATCGATCCCGACCTGGCCGAAACGCAAACTCTGAGCGGCCGGACTGTAATGATTACCCGCTCTTGCCAAAAGAAGAGAAAAAAATGATTACCCGTGTGTACGGCGGTGTGCCGGCGCATGTCCTTGTTGGAGTGGAAGGCGAGCGGACACCGCGGACACTGGAATGCACGCCGCGCCGCCGCCACGCGCCCCGCCCCCATACCTACGTACAATAAATATTTTCAACTATACTTAAATATATTTTTTTGTAAATCTATATATATATATTATTTTATTTATTTATTAAATCTTTTATGCACAAATACACAATATAGATGCATATGCGAACTTAACACCATGAGGTATCTTCTCCCAGTCAACCATTGGGCAAACAGAGATCTATGTGGGCAGTGCATTAAAATAAATAATAATAACAAAGATTATAAACTATATATAACTCAAAGATGACTGACATAGTGATCTATCAACGCAGAGCCCAAACCACGGGACGGATCGGGCTGAAATTTGACATGCAGGTAGATGTTATGACGTAGGCATCCGCTAAGAAAGGATTTTGATTAATTCTACCCCCAAGGGGATAAAATAGGGAATGAAAGTTTGTATGAAACTTTGTCAATTTTAAACCGATCGGGCTGAGACTTTGCATGCATAAATCTACTATGACATAGGCATCCCCTAAGAAAGAATTTTGATAAATTCCACCCCTAAGGGGATAAATTAACGAGATTGAAGCCGCGGGCAAAAGCTAGTACATATATAATATACATAAGGAACACTCAGACCATTACCAATATTCACACGCATGAATACAAATGTTTGCATCGTGCAAGGGATCGAACCGTTTACCTTACCAGTTACATAAAAAAATATAATAATGCAGGTATTATGGTTTACTTACCGTCATGCTTAGCGACATGTTTCCTGTAGTTAGAGCCGTCACGGAAGCGTCGGTTGCAGATCTTGCACGAGAACGGCCGCTCCTCGGTATGCGTGAGACCGTGCTTCCGCAGTGACGTCACGTTGTTGAATGCTTTATCGCACTGAGGACACACGTAGTTCTTCTCTCCTAAAAGTTAACGTAATTTATAGCATACTAGCTGTGCCCGCAGCTTCACCTGCGTGAAATTTACAGCCCATGTGTTGTTTTGACGTATAAGCTATATTAATGTTAATTTTTGCGTGAAAAAATATAATAGAATAGGATGGAATAGGATAGAATAGGATAGAAATAGATAGAATAGGATAGAATAGGATAGAATAGAATTTATTCAAATAAACTTAATTTAAGCACTTTTTAATAAATAACAAACATCCATCCATCCACACTCACAAACTTACGCGTTTATAATATTAATGAAATTCAAGGTAATGTGAAAGTAGTACACTTATAGTAGTAGTACTTTTAATAAACAACCTAATATAGTGGCAACACTATAACATCAGTCTTACGATTGATAAATAAGCACCTCATCTGCCGTTCTACATTAAATTCCGTCGTCTCTTGACCATGTCAAAAGACTCCCAGAGCTGTGTTGCCAATGGATTAGATATTCAAGGAAACGAGAAACTTGAAATAAACAAACTTTTCTTTGTCCATCTCGCAATCATTAGAAGACTATGAGCAGATGTGGTAAAAGTTACGTCGCACGTAGAATGCGATTCCAGTTAGTCCTGGTTAGTCATCAGGTTCCAGCCGCGGTACGCCTTTTAAGGCAACGTATGTTGTCGGGGACTGTCACTTAGTCAGGTCACATTGGGATGACTTACTAGCCGTGAAGGACATGACGGACAACTAATGTCATACATACACACCTATTTTAGTATACAATACAAAAAAACTGGCTTTAAAAAAATCTGTTTATTTTTGACAGTTCTCAATTGCATCTGTACCTTTACTTTAGAATACAATACAAATAAACTGAACAATACTACAATACAAATAAAAAAACGAAATTCAGTTGAGCTTCTGTCAGTTCTCTATTTAATCTGCATACTCAATTGGACGGTATGAAAAAAATATTAATACAAACACTTGCCATTCATAAACATGTAATATATCCTACGTGAATAAATTATTAATAATTTGATTTGATTTGAAATTAAAAAAAAACTTACTAGTGTGCTTCAGCTTGTGCCGCTGCAGCTTGGACATTTGAAAGAAGCTGTCACCGCAGACGTCGCACGCATACGTGCGCTCATTCCGGTGTACACGCATATGATACTTGAAGTGTGAGTGTGTAGCAAAACTCTGCAATATTTCAACGCTTGTATAACGACTAACTGCAACTCTAATGTGGAGACTTTACCCAGATATTTAGTATTAGGGTTACAGATACTTAATTATTTCCTTTTGACATAAATGCAATAGAATTATATTACATGTCACTACATTCCCCATAGTTGAATTTAAAATTGATACTGTATTGTTGTGTAATTGTATTGTAATATAAGCTCCTTTAATTAATTAAAGGTTTGAGTGATTTAATTAAAGACTTTAATTAATTAAAGTTGACTGAGTTTCTAGTCAGTTCTTCTTGGTTTGAAAGCCTCTGAATTAGTAGTAGATATGATATATCATAAAAGTCTGTAATAGACCTATATGAATATATTTTGATTTAGATTTTTTTATTTCAGTATAAATCAGACATTAATAAATTTCATCAATTTTATTATTTTTGACCCCCCATCTTCCTGCTTGATACCATTTATGTCCAAAGAGGAGGTGAGTGTCACAGTTAGTCACACTTGTGAGATCCATAGTGTGACGTCTCATACTTCAGGATTGTACATCTAGAAATAACTAAATTAACAAAGAGCAGTTTCAAAACTATTAATCTTTATTCTTAATCCTTTAATTTATTTAAATGCATTATTAAATGTGATTCCCAAAAATTATGACTCCACCGACCCTTTGTCACACTGCGTCACACTTCATCAACATTAATATGGGGATCACCTTACGCTAATTTCACTAATTGAGTTTTAAACATTGAAGGAGGTAATTTCTTACAATGTTTTCAGGGTGTTTTTTTTAGTTTAAATCTTCAGAGTAAATACAATAGTACTAATTATATTGTGTGTATATTTAGTATATTGTTACTAAGTGAAGTACATAGTTCATATGTGATTAATACCCTAATTTTCTAGGGACAACAAAAAAAAGCAATCTGGTATAGTAATTGTAGGATAGTGAGTTAGTTATAAATAACCAGTGATTAGAGTAGGTAGAGCTATTTTAGTAAAAAAAACTTTTTATAATATTAAACTGAAAACAGATTTTTATAGCAAATGTGTATTATTCCCACAACATATTCACTTTATTCCCTACAATTTGCAGTTAAAAAAGCACACAACCTTATTACATTCAGGGCATTGGTAAGGCTTGAGTTGCCCGTTGCAGTATGCATGGTAGGCCACCTGACTGCGAGCATGGAACCTCTTCTTGCATTCTGTACAGTAATAACATCTCCCATTTGCATCTAAAACAACAATATAATTTGATGGACACAGAAATTAAAAAATTATAACCCAGCATTTTTTTACAATAAATATTTTTTTCTAAATCCCAATTCTGGATCAACGTAATTGCAAGAGTATAGCTACTCTGATTTAGTGTTTTAGTGTTACGGACCCCACACAATAGAGAAGCCTCACATAAGCAACTGTTTGAACATAACATAACAAGTTTTAAGTATTTTTTAACATAGAATAATATCAGACCATGGAAGAAATATATTAGATGTTGGTGCCATACAAACTATTTTAGCCGATCCTTCAGACAGTGCGGCTATGGCAATTTGTTCAGTGGTGAAGTAATGGAGTAATTAATTTTAGGGTACAATGGGACTGGCATGTACTTAGATTGTAGAAAGTTCCTAAATTAAAATAAAAGTATTTTTAGTTTGTACAAAGGTTCTGTTTACAAAGGAAAACATATACAATAAGCAAAAAATATTAAATTTAAATATCAATCAATCTGATAGCAGAAAGAAAGAAAAACAAAGGAAATGATGTGTCATTTAATTCAAGTATTGTTTTTTTAACCCCACCTTAAGAAAGTAAACCAAACCATGAGTATTGAAAGGACTTCTTATAAGCCCAGTGCTGGGTTAACTAGTATCATAACTGGTTGTTCAGTATTGCTACTAGCAGATTACTGTGACCACAGAGAATTTCTATTTATATTTTATTATTATTTCATATGTATATTAGTCTATAAGGTATCTATAATATAGGACTATTAGTACTAATTTAAAAAAATAAACATTATATATTTTATCTGGGCATAAATACCTGTTTCCACTTTAATATGTGATGTTTCTGGTTTCTTTTTCTTCAATAATCCTTCACAAGGTGTCAAATGGTCGGCATTAGAATTCTTCAATGTTACAGGGTCGTCTATTTGATCAGCGTTAACATCATCCTCTCTATCTTCCTCTATGTTTTTTTCAAGAAGTTCACTTTTAGACTTAATCAACTTGGCACAAGCTTTACATCCAGATTTCTCATATAGAAGACAATCCATACATTTGACATGACCACAACTTTCAGTCACCAGCCGGTTATTAGTTAAATTAACAGGCTTATTATTGTGGCAATTCACACAAATATTTTTATTCATATTGGCATAATAAAATTTTAAGGTTATCAATGATATTTCGAGACCATTGGATAGTTCAATAATAAGAATACTTAGAGAGAATTCTATAATTAAGACAGTATTTATATGGTAGATTAAATTATGGCAAAAATACAAAAATAAATCTAGTAAAAACTAATATATACAAATTTTAAGACAAAGACGAAAAATTTAAACAAAAGATACTCTGTGGACTGATGACTAGATTGACTGACACTGACAATTAAACTAATTACTGAGGTACTCTATGTTTCGTACTAAGAACAAGAACAAATTTATCTTCTATTCCGCTTTATACTCTACCATTCTGTATTTTGTGTACACATAATCTGTTTTCTGAACAGTCAAATTGTCAATTCTGTACAGTCAGTCTGTGATTGTCAAATTGTCAATTCAATATTTAATTCGTTTCTTACGCCTCTAAGCGCTTTTTTACATTTAATAGAATAATTTTTATTTTAAAGTCATTATGGTAAGTAATATATTGTTTACGGTAGTTTTATAATCGCAATTGTTATACAAATTAACTATAATCGTTGACGTATGTCTGTCCACTAGTAACCTCAAATCTGGAATTTGTTTTCAGGATGTCTTTCTAATGATTAGGCGAAAAAAATTAACCATTTTCACAGACGCCAAGGATACGACGACCGTGTTAGAATTAAAGAAAATGATCGAAGGTTAGTGCAAATAACTTGTTAGATGTGAAATCTATTTATAGTAACGATACAATGTCGGGACGTTAGCGTAGGTTTTGTTGTCAAGCGTGCTGTTTTGTTCGTATGTCGTATACACATTTACTTGATATTTTTATTTATTTGTATACGGTAATTACTTTGAAGACTTTTATTAAATTCACACCAAAATATTTACTCAGCCAATAGAATTTATTACATTACAGTACATTCTTATAATTTGAATACTTATTATCTTTGTTTGCTATAGTTATTTATATTCAATAATAGGGTAATTGGAAAACAGTAGTCTATAATCTATGAAATATAAAGCAATATACACTTTATACTAACCCATTTATGATTTAACAATATTTGAAAATATCAAATACATGTGGAAGTATATTTGAAATGTTTTTTTATTGTTCGGATGTTTAAGCAAGTGCATGTCTTTATTATATTTAATACAAAATAAACTGTAATGTTAATTTTTATGTAAATAAATAGAACACAACTGATATTTTTTTCTCTATGCTTTCACAAATATTAAACCAATTTTCTGTATTCTAATTCTATTTATTATTAGTTTTATAAATATATTAAATATGTATCTATGTTCTTTTATACAACAATATTAAACATAAACTATTCCGTTTTGTTATTGATATTAAAACAATAGCAATTACAGTAACACCTCACAATTAACATTGGTCCCCCGATTGCCAATTTTCTTAGCAGTTTGTAAGTAGATGATAATTGTGAGATGTTTAAATTTTTTTTTTTTATGGGGTTCTATTTCCAGTTACTCTTATTTATATTTCCTAACATAATGTATAATTGCACAAGTCACATGATTTCTTCCTTAAAGATAAAGTTTAAAATAATTACTAATTCTAAATACACTATTTCACATTGTAATAGAATCAAAATTATTTAATTAAAAAAAAATTGTGGAAATTAAACTTAGTATTTTAGAATATGTCACCTTTATAGATTGCTAACTGTTACATAAAACTTTGCTAATAATATCTTGTTGTATTATGAAGAGATTCTATTTTCCCTCCAATAATTAATAAAGAATGACATATTTAAATATTAGAGTTCCATTTTCTTTTTTTTTTTAAGTAATAAAATGCAATGTAGCAAAGTGGTTGCATACCTACAGATTATCATTTAAAATAAAAAGAACTGTATGTATATATATAATAGAATTATGAAGACAAACATACACCATCTTTTATATCTATAATCAATCTTATAGATATAAAAGATGGTGTATGTATATATATATATATATATATATATATATATTTATTGCTAGGTTTTATAAGACCTGTTGGGCTGTTTAATTATAAAGTGGCAACAAAGATATAAATCCAGATACTTTTGCATTTATATCTTGTTTGTGGCATACAAACTTAAATCCTTTTATTTATGATGTAGATAATGTTTAGTTATTGACAATAAATAAAATTATTGCACTTTGTTCAGATAATACTAGCTTATTTGATTAACTAATCTATGCTGTAATAAATACTGTGACTAATTGATGGTGTAATATATACTTTTTTTTGTATAGTTATTACTAAACTGCATTAACTCCAACTTAATTATATAATTTTGTGAAATGGACTTTAAAATATTTAGTTTTAAGGTATAGTTTCCAAAATTTGTAATTTTAAGTTAATGTTATTTAGTATTAAGCATGCCATTTCAGTCCACAAATTAACCTTACAATGTTACGTTTATCTATATTTAAACCATTGTAGGCATGCATATTAACATTATAAAAGGTGTCAGCTTGTTGGTCACCTTTTAATGACTAAACTAATTGTCTTTGTGAAGAATTTTCGACATGTTAAGAGAAAGGGTTGAGTCATTTCCGAGAATAGGGTACACAATCAGTTTTTTTTTAAATCATAGCTTTTGGGTTCTGTTATGTTCATTATTTATGTTTCTAATAAATAAATAAGTTGTGTTGATATAGACCCCAATAATACATTATCTCATTTACAATGATAGATAGATAGATAAATTCTTTATTTTTTGTTCAGTGGTGTGGTTTCTGTTTATTTACAGCTTATTCGAAAAAAGATTCAAATGTTGTATAATACATTTTCTTGGTAAAAAATCTTAAGTATTATAAAATTTAAGAGTTTGTATATGATGACAATGTTTTTGAAAAAAATACTTAAAATTCATAGTATTATCTGATTGCACAAAGAATGAATGTGTCCAAACATTTATGTTGATTATTGCATGCCTCTTAGATATTACTGTGTATTTATTTATTTAAAATAACAGTTATTCAAAAGAGCAATACACAAGTTTCTTGCTCCTACTTCTTCTGATGAGTCTGTGTTCCGAATGAGTGGTAGAATAAAAAAATATGACTATTCAAAAATTATTGTATTGAGTTTATTTGAATAAAAAATATTTCTATTATTATATACTTTATAATATACACAGGTATCCTAAAAGTACCACCAGCAAGTCAGATGCTGTTCAACAAAGACAGTCAGCTGATGGAAGATGATACGACCCTGGCGGAGTATGGCCTCACATCAGCCACAGCTAAAGCTCAATGCCCTGCACCAATTGGACTGGCCTTGAGGTATTTTTTTTATAATAATAACTATATAGCATATTTTAAGAGACATAAAATACCAGATTTCAACAAGCTGGAATATCCGAGGCTGGATTTTCAATGGAGAATCACTTGTCACATGATTTTACAAAATTAACAAATTTATTTATAGTCTGGGACTGATTGCATGATGTAATAATAATAATAATGTATACATATAAATAAAATTGGAGTGTCTGTTTGTAATATTGAAATAACCGTTTTTTACTACATGCATATGAATATAAATACGGTACATACACCAAAATAACATTTTTTACAATTTTTGTCTGTCTGTTTGTTTGTTCCGGCTAATCTCTGGAATGGCTGGACCGATTTTGACGGGACTTTTTTAGTATGTAGCTGATGTATTAAGGAGTAACTTATGCTATTTTTATTTTAGAAAAATAGTGTTAAATTCCACGCGAACTACTCTGTCCCCTATTTCAACTTGTGTTCATATCTTTGTGAGTTTTGATAAATTAATATAATAATAATAATAACTTACAGCAACATATTGACTAGGTCCAGTGCTAATAATGAACTATATCAGATAGACCTCCTTGCGGTTACCGCTTTACGCGCAGTTTAACTGACTTAAACACATGCACAACTTATCATCCTCCACTGGTGCATGGAGGATGATAAGTTGTACCCCACCAGCGTATACCATTAGCGCAGCCGGGTGAATCATTCCAATGTCATCTATAAAAAAACTATCTACATTGCCTTTTTTGTGATCAACAATATCCCGGTACATCATAGTGATGCATATGGTCATGTTAATTTTCAATAAGATCCTTTCAGCCGTTTAGTAGAAAATTCGTAACAAATACACTGACAGACACTACAATATTGAGTATGAATAATATAGTATCTCTTTTGCAAACTCTGCGCAAATTTATATATGTATTATTGGACCGACCGATCGTCGTGGAGATCTTTGGGGGAGTCCTTTGTCCAGCAATGGACGTCTTCCAGGTGATGATTATTGGACCAATTTAGAATGTGTTTCTTTTATAGTGTTTAATATTGTCATGTTTTTTATTGTCACTTTTGAATTCTTACTAACTATATTATACGTATTTGCCATTTTTCTCCATTGTTTGTTTAATATCACACATACAATCCACTCATTCTAGCGCCTACAATCTCTTATATTTGTATGTAATACATTATTTATCTGAACAGGAAGGAAAATGGAGAATTTGAAGCTCTGGATTTGACTCCGTACTCATCACCACCCGACCTCCCAGATGTCATGAAGTCTCAGGAAACCAATGGACAGGAACAGGTAATTATGTTTTTCATCATTAATAATAATAATTTCAGGACACAGCGCCATCTAGAACCAAGTTAAGCTACAGCTTTTGTTATGGGTACTAGATAACTGATACAAATGTATGATATATATTTTTTTCGTAAATACATTCATATTATATATTATAATAAGAAACAGAGCTATACAAACAATCATACTCATGATTACAAATGTTTGTGCCGTGCGAGGAATCGAACCCGCGACCATCGGAAGTAAAAAGGTGTGCTACACTGCTAGACCACCGAGGCAGCTTTTAGACCTCTCACATCATGATCTCTCATAGATTTTTAACAAATAAGCTATCTTTTTTATGGACGATAATATAATAATCCCGAGATGTCTTAATTTTACTACTTTCTCTAGTATATTTATTATTATATAGTAGGTGTTACCTGTTGCAAAATACCTCCCGGGTATTCTGCAAGGTGTTTTTTTTGTTAAGGATATTAAATTTCGGATACGGTTAGGTTTCGGATATAGGAATGATTATTATAACGGATGGGTATATGAAATTATTTCGGATCATACGTTAGTTTCTGATAATTTCGGTTGCGGATATATTTTTCAATAAATGTCAAAAGTAAAATAATAATAGATAATAAAATAACATACATACGTGTCTTAATTAAGCTCCGCCCTCATCCGATATTATCCGAAACTTTTATTTCGGATTCGGTTACGGTTACGGAGCTCCCTAACATCCCTGCGAAATACATAACTATGTTTTAATATGTGAGTATGTCATACCATCCAGAAGGCCAGAACCAAGCAGTCCTGAACAATATACTTGTGGTCTGGACTGGTCAGTACGGAGTTCGAACACTGATTAGACTATTTTAATTTAAAAATGGATCTGTATTATTGTAAACATGTACATTTATTTGAAAAGAATACGAGGTGAGTTTCATGTTAGTTCTTCTCATCTCGATATCATTCCGAACTGACGGTAGATTTGACATATCATAAGTCTGTAATAGATGAATAAAGATATTTTGAATTTGAATATAATAAAAATAATAATATTACAATGATTTCTTTCAGATGGATCAGCATTAAACGGCACGGTGGCATTTCAAACGGAACAGTTGCAAGTAAAACCCCACATCATCGGTTTCATAAATACCCGGTTCGACGTGAACTGGACGGACGGAATCTATTTTATTTTTGCATACGGACATATTTTGTTTACGTTTTATCAATTTGTGTTCAATTTTAACATATTCTGTTATGTCTACTCAATTGTTTGTAGTATTTTTCTAATGCTTTGTAAGGGAATAGCGCTTTTCGCAATATATGATCTAAAATAAAATAATTTCAACTCCTATGGTTCATGTATGACACGCTCAATAATATCGTAATAATAATTAAAAATACGCGTCTCCAAGACCAAGTAAAGACTGAATTCGGTCGTTAACAACTTGTACATCGTGATAATATACAAGTAATCATTCGCAAACGCAAAACCGTGAACAACTTTGATTCCTTGAATATTTTATGATCTCCCTCAATTCGGGAATATATCGTTGCAAATACAAAAGCTAGAATTTTGCAAGTAGGTCCATATATGAAAAGGTTGTCAATGAATGTAGTAATTGAAAATCCTCCTTTTTGAAGTTGGTTAAATATTATGAACTTTAGAAAATCAACTTTAACTTTTTATTTTTAAAGTGAATTTCACAAATTTGTTTATTTTATTTTCAGTTGCAATGCATGCATGCAGATGCAATTTATTATTGAGCGTGTGATATAGTTAATACTGTTTCGTTGCTATTAAATTATAAATATTGTGACACGCAAGAGGTTATAAGAAAGCCAATCAGTACAGTCGAGAAATGGACTCATGATTAAAGTGACCATCCGACACTGTTTAGGCGAGAAAGTCCTGCTTCTGCAGACTTCCGAAGTGTCAAGATCAACACTAATGTGTTGTTCTGATGTTCTTTGAGCGATTTAATGTCCCACTTTGACCGGATAAATAAATGGTTACATTACTCATGATCCACTTTAAAACTGTTATAGTGTCAACATAGTTTATTATTGATTCAACATGGTATTTACTAAATAATTACATTACTGTCAGAGTATAGGAGCTCTGTGTCTCCTTTTTATCGGTCTTAGTGTACAATATTTTAATAGCGTTCATATAGATAGGTGTGCTCTCTCCATTATAGCTTAGAGGCAATGGACACTTATATAATTTACGGGCCGAAAAAATTTGCCCATAGACAAATGTCTACCATCATGCTTGATTTCTCAGGGAATATTGTTACAAAGTACATTTTTTTGGCATCGCACAGTTGCATAAATGGTATCTGTCTATAGTATAATCGGTCTTGCTTACCCAAAGCAGGATTATAGAAGTGCCCATTGTCTTAATTTTAAGTCAAATCGGGCCGATTCTCACTGCTTAGTTGAGCTCAAGCAATGAGCGGGCAGTATCAACGAAATTCTTAAATGTACATACATTTAACTGTGGTTTAGTATAGTGTGGTTGTGCATTATATAATTTTAAAAAATGCCAATGTCTAAAAAAAGTCTTGCCTCCTTATTTATTAAAACGACAAATGAGAGTATTTTAGCTATTGAATTGTTTTCTCCCTTTCTTCAAGATATATTATTAATTTGAAAGAAGGACAAGACATTTTAATAGTTAAAATATGCTTACAGGTTTTAATTTTTATGAGTTAGACTGTAACGTCACAATTTCGCAATGACCACCGAAACACGGAGGAAGCCCTCTAGACAAGTACAAGTTCTGTTAGGAATATCGCCAGTAGAAAACTTTAACATACATTTTAAACATGATCATTATATGCTATTGAAAATAACTTCAACCACATAAGTGATATCAATAACTTAATTTTTTTTTTCTACTTTGAACCATTAAATTTCGCTTGATATAAAAAAAGCCCACTTTCCGCCAATTACATTGACCATTAAGTTTCATTTACATTTTTGTCAGTATTTGCATTTAAAATTTTTAAATAGTTATGTTATGTTTGAAATATCCATGTATATTATTACCTGATAACACAACTCCATAAATAAAACTCCGTATAAAATATCACTACGGCACAGAATTGGCCTGTTATACAATGCCAAGAAAACTTAGGATACAATTATATTGTTATTACCGAATACTTTTCCCTCCAGTTACTTAATGTCCCATGCCTATTTACTACACACTTCTAATGAAAAAAATTAATAATTTGCGGCAGCCCTTACAACCAAATAATCGACTTTTCTACTAGCGATATAGTAAGTATAAGTATATTTGTCTAGACGGTGGACTATTTGCCTATATAAATAAATATACTTAATATAGGAAACACGAATTTTGATTGCAAGATCTCTGGTGTCATTCTTTAAATTGGTTGCAATACAGCTAAAAATTTCAAATTAGCAATAATGTAGAAACTATTTGACAGGTGCAGTTGCGAAATGGTAAATCACAAGCCGTTGCAACGGCGAGGCATAATCGAGAATCCTGTCTATGTAATCCGTATTTTAAATTCACTGTGTACTCATAAGAATGGCCCGCATTCATATGAAACATTAAATTGTCAATTTATTGTTTTCATCTCGTATACCTAACGGTGACTAAACCGTGTTCATGCTAATATTAACGCATATTACTAACGCCGCGAGACATTTATGGCTTGATGCTTAACTTTCAAAGTCCTCACATGAACTTATCGTTAACGTACGCATAGGCTCAGCATTCCATATGTAGTCTGTTTATTATGTTTTAACAGAATAATTTGTCGATTTCAGTGCATTTATGGCACTTAGAAGCTTTATTTATAGTTTTTTTTATTATAAATTTTATATGACAGTTACGTTTTTACTTCACAATGTATTTCATAGACAATGGGCACTTGTATAATTTTCAGTACGATGTTATTGAGGACATTCATCCTATCCTATCCTAGTCTATAATCTATGGAAAATTGAAAACGTCTTCATACTACATGTATACATTTTATTTACTTAATTATGTACAAACATCAAAATAGTACAGTATTGTGTTGTTTAAATTAGTTGTAGTAAATTATAAAAGTGCCCATTTCTCAAAGTTTCAATAAACAGACTACATGGAGCATCTTTTAACATAAATTATATATTTCACATATACATATGATAGAAAGCGACAGTTGCATGAAAGCACTGGCGTAGCTACCGCGGGTCTGTCCACTGAAGACCCAAGTTGAAGGGTACCTCGGAGCCAGACCAGCAAACTTCAAATTAACAAAATGTTAAGAATACCTTCGAAATGTAAATAAAATAATTTGCAATCTGCCTTCAAATATGCCAGCTCATTTAAACAGTTCTGAGCTGCTCAGCACTACCTTCCATGGCCGTAAAACAACTTAAAAGAAAGTTACTAGTATAGTGCTGCCAACTTGTTTCTATTAGGCATTTATTTGAAAAAACGTAAACAGCAGGTTTACTCTATATTCCAGACTAAACCAAATACATTTATGACAATGTAAGTCTTTTAATTATATCATTATAATTCAGGGGTATAAAAAAGTGCTATACAGCACAATCAAATGTCAATAAATTGTAATTACTGTACAGTGTTAAATCCACAGTTTATTACAGTTTTTTTTTTATTTAAGGCTCAACTTATTACACATTGGCCTTTGTTTACGTAGCTACGCCTCTGCATGCTAACTCGATTACTATATATGATGCGATACGTCATTTATATTGCATGTGAGTGTACACAATATAATATGATTTTATTAAAATTAATACGATATTTAACTGATAATAGACTAGAATGAATATAGTTAGTAGCTAATTTAATAGGGGGTAAAGTAGGGGCTTTTATATTCGTAAATTCTAATAACTGAATAGTGACATTCTTCATTGTGATTTAAATTTAATGTATCTTCGTCTAAAATCGGTCATCTTCTATAGTTCCTCGTCATGAAGGTTGCTAATTGTTTTTTTAATATTAATTTTATGTAATATTTTCTATCGCACCTTTTTTAAATAAAGATATTCTGTATATTTTGCATCACCGTATAATCCTTTGGTAAATTCAGTATAGTTCGGTGCAATGTTACGACTATAGTGGATAATAACCTAATGATATTATAATGAAAAAGATATATGTAAATTACGTGCACCTAAAACTTTCTGTCTGGCACCCAACTAAGATTAACTAAATTGAGCTGTCACTGATACAGGCTGATACAACATTATCTGCACTCCCTTCTACAGTACAGTTACGTATATGTTGTGATAAAAAAAGTAGTTTTGTTGGTCTAAAGTCATTAATGTTTTCATACAAAAAAATGTCCTTATTGCAAATATTCTGTTTTGTGTAAATTAGCCTATTAAAACATCTTCAGTCACAGTATGCTTTGGTAGGTACTATAAGCGTCTGTAAACTGCCATCGTACTTAAATTGAGATATATTACAGGCAGTGAAGAAGTTTTAGTATAAAATTAATTGCTTTTTTAATTATACCAAGACATGAAATGGCTTTTTTCACCGAAAATATAATGTAGAAGGAAAGGCAGATAATTTGGTAGCATCCTATATGTGTTTTTTGTTTCTTATAGTTTCCATTTATATGTTGTTTACTGCACGCTCAATTTAAATCTACACCTGCGCCCATATAACTTCATCGTTCCAAGGTACAGACATAATTTTACAGCGTTATGTTTTGGATAATCTTCATTATAATATCATATGTATAACTGATGTCAGCAGATCTGAATAATTTTGAGTCTACATACTCTAAATATGGTGCATGATTATTTATTATTCTGAATAAACTACCAAACTCCTCTTCCTTTACAAATTAAATTCGAAATAGTATAATTTGGGTACTAAACGGTATTGCACTTTATGCACTATGAAATAGAATAGTATATTGATGTATAAGTACCTTTGTGTCATGGTAAAGTGACACTAACATGTTCTACAGCCCGCTACCATGAATTCGTTATGTGGCGACGCAAAATCGATTTTTTTGTATCATATGCTTTATTTTTTATTCCTTCGACTTATTTGGTCGAGTTCATGGTAGCGGTATATGGTCCCGGATTAGTCAAGTGTAAGGGATTATAGCTGAAAATGAACGTTTGTACTCAACGTTGTTTTACTGTACTCATATGTACTGTTGTATTGTGATTGTATACAAAAATACATTCAGTATGTGTTCTATTGGTTGTTACGTTAAATAATCCAATCTAAGCTCTCCCGCTGAGAAGGTTTTACGTACCATTTTTAGAACAATTCGAACAAAACCTCGTCACTCTAACGCGTGAGACTTAGACAATGATAGTGTAGTATTTCATGTGCAAGTATGGAAATCCACAAGGAACCAGCAGAAAATAAAGCTGTTTTGATTTGTTTTGCCGTGTTTTATTATTACTTTATTCCACACGGTTGTTACTACACTGGTGCCCTCTGGAAACAATCTCGTGCGATTATTTATAATTTTCTACATTGTACTCAATGCTGGCCGTAATTCCGCCTGATTTGTGGTATAAAACATTTTTAAAAAGTTTTAAGGATTTCCAAGGCCGGTTACGAAAATTGCTGCTCTTTAGCTTTTTCTCAATCCGTCTCGACCATCAGATCTTATGTGTGGCATATCCTCAATGGTACACACTGCGAACAGGACCCATTAGGGCCGACGGGTCTTGCATAGAAATAAAAGAATCATATTATATCCTATATAGTGGTTTTTGGAGTACATAAACTGTTTTTTTATATCATCGGTGATGGTAAGTGATTAGCGCCACACATGCAGCACCAGCACAGTACACTTAAACAAGTACAAAAACTTTGCCGGCTTTTAAAAAAGGAAGCAATTGTATTTTTGTCAGGTTGACTTTTACGCGGTTTACCTTGGAAACCACATATTAAATTCCTGGTGAATTAGTCACGATGGGCTCTCTGACCTGACCTCATATTCATCTTATCATCCTCCATTTTATTCATTCCATGGTCCTCGTGGAAACGATGTTGTTTTGTTAAATGTGTATTGATCGCGATTGGCTAATTTAGTTGATATAATTCTTCTTTTAAGGTATTTTGCTTCAAAATTCATCCTATATTTATTGATTGAAAAAGTAGGTACAATTAATTAATATGTGTGGATCTGCTTCTATGTTCAATTGCCTTTTCTTTGACCCAAAATTGTCTTCGGCGAATGCACGTTATGCCAAGACATTAATATAAAAAAAATAGACTGACGGAGCTGTCATTGTCAATCGTAAGTCATTTTGACTTATTCCACAAAGTTTTCATAACCATGCTTTTTAACCTCGAAATTGATCAAAATATTTTATGTTATTATTAAACTAGGCTTTTAAAAATAATAAGAGTTAAATTATATAAGTTATACTTTAGTGTTTAGTATAATTGGTTATTTTTGTATATTATTTTACTTTTGAGTCATTGAAAAATGGGTAAACGAAAAGGAAAGTGTGCTAAAAAGAATCCTGCAAGTAAACAGGCTTTGGAGCCTGAGCACTTGGTGAAGGCCCCACATTCCTTTGTAATTCACCGCGGACAGTGCAGCAAGGACCTTATGGACTTAACGAAGGACTTTAGAAAGCTCATGGAACCGTTTACAGCGGCACAACTTAAGGTACAGTTTGATTTGTTTTAATCTGCTGCGTTTCAGAAATCTTAAAATTACCTAGTTTGAAACTATTAATTATATGCATAACTACTAATAAGAGATAACTATATAGTTTAGGGACTAGGGAATAACATGTAATATGCAAGAAATTGACAAAATAAAAAGTTCTGTAAATTATTAATATCATTAGCAATGATCAAATTGATATATAGTGGAAAAGACTTTAACAAATAAATTGAGAACAAAAAAGGGGTCAAAATTATTCTCTACTTTTCAATGTGTGATACTCAGTCAAGCAGAAACAACAAGATCTGAACCATCTCATTATATATCATAGATTTATTTATAATTATGCATATAAAATAGATGCATAGCAGTAGCCACATAAAGAATAAAAAATCCAGAGCTTGGCTAGCTTCTTTAGCAGTCTCGACTCTACATGCACAATGGTTAGATGATATTCTAAATGTAGAGAATAGAGTCCATATTACATTACATGACTATTCAGAAATGCTTATTTTTATTAATTTTAATAAAACTCATTTATTTGTATGTATTGTTTTTAGGAAAGAAAAAAGAACACAATCAAGGACTTTCTATCAATATCAGGGTACCTTCATGTCTCTCACATGATTATGTTCACAGAAACAGAGCTTGGCACATATATGAGACTAGCACGGCTCCCAAGAGGACCTACTCTCACATTCCGTGTACATAATGTAAGTTTCTATGAACTGTTTTAGGTATACTAAATATGTGGTTAACCATCAATTGTCGTGTATCAAAGGGCAATAGAGAGATGGGGATCAGATTAAGTGATAAAATCACAAACTGGAAGTTAAGAAGAAGATGTACTATCTCGAATAGACTATTTAAAATGAAGTTGGACAGGCATATCCACGGTGGAACATTCATTGCATCAACTCATAGTCTAATGACTGAAGTCGCGAACTTACGCCAAAATAACGTAAGATATGGTAGTTAGCGGGTAATGATAATGCTCGAGTTTATGCTAAATTTACATTCAGCCGCTTCCCCTGCTAGTCGCGTTGCGAGAAATATTGCTTTGGGCGACAACTGAGCGAGAGGGCTGAATGTAAAAAGACGCTGCCACTCGCACTGCCACTCCTTTGACTCGTGCACGAAAAACTGACAATCGAGGGAGCGCCGGGCAGCGCCAATTGCATGGGAAGTGTTTCCACTCGCGCTGCTCACATCCATGGTCACTTGGAGTGTAAATTGGGCATTAGGTTTAAGTTAAAAAAATCTTATATTATGATATGTATATTTTTCCTTCAAAAAACTAAGGATATTAATTAAACTATGACCTTTTTTACAGTACAGCTTAGCGCGCGATGTGATATCTTCATTGAAGAAACAGTACGTTATGATGAAAGCATTTCAAAATGCTCCCCTGATTGTGCTCAATAGTTTCTCCGGTGAAGGCATGCACATGAAACTCATGGCAACCATGTTCCAAAACATGTTTCCTACAATTAATATTACAACAGTAAGTATCACTGAGATAAATTCTGCAAATGTATAAAAATTTTTAAATAAGATGCTCCTTCCCAAATTCCATCACATATTCTTAGGTTGTAATGGAATTGTATTAACCTGACCATCATTTAGTCTATACTACTAATAAATTGCAAATTACAGGTGAAATTGAAGAATATTCGACGTTGTGTGTTAATGAATTATAATCCAAGCACTAAACTAATAGATCTACGACATTATGCAATCAGAGCTACGCCTGTTGGTCTCAACAAGGGTACGAAAAAGGTAATTATATTTATACTATACTAGCTGTACTCGCCACTTCGTCCGCGTGGAATTTACCATAAAAGAATTAGAGAATTTTTCTAAAATAAAGGTAGCTTAAGTTACTCCTTATTACATCAGCTACCTACCAATAAAAGTCCCGTTAAAATCGTTCCAGCCATTTCACAGATTAGCTGGAACAAACAGACATGGAAAGACAAACAGACAAAAATTGTAAAAAAAATATTTTGGTGTATGTACCATATTTATATTCATATGCATGTGGTAAAAAACGGTTATTTGAATATTACAAATAGACACTCCAATTTTATTTATACATATAGGTATTGATCTGTATAAACATTTTTCAAAAAATAAAAATAAAAAATAATAGTCTCAGGACAATTCACACAGCGCCACCTAGACCCAAGTTAAACTAGCTAAAGCTTGTGTTATGGCTATTAGACAACTGATACAAATACATAGACAATTTTTTTCGTAAATACATACTTATTATACATAGAAAATACCCAGACCGATACAAAAAATCATACTCAGCTCAGCACTTCTTTACATAGTATAAAATAAAGTCACTGCCACTCTTTAATCTTTTAAATTACGCAACGGAACGCAATTATTTTCTTTTAGTTTCCAGCAATAGATAGAGCGATAGAAGTGGAAGGTTATGTGTATAATACATGCGTGTTATGGTATAGAATAGGAGAAATTTAAAAAATTGTGATGGATGCGTCACAATTTTTAAATAAAAATAAATTTAATTACATTTAAATAAAAATAATCACATCAATATTGAGAAATCACAACACACAAATTTCTTGCTCATTCTTCTCGTGATGAGTCTGCATTCCGAATGAGCGGTAGAATAAAAAAACTTGACTATTTATAACTGCTTATATTAAGTTTATTTGAATAAAGATTATTTCTATTTCTAATATTTCAGATGGTGCAAGGTAAAATACCAAATCTAAATCGGTGTCGAGACATGTCTGAATTCTTCGATAAGTAAGTACCGCGTACTAAGGTTAGGGGCATGTAAGCCTCGTTTTTAAACATTACCCGCTTGTCATGGCTGGAAATTTGTCTTTTGTTTAGCAATGGTTCACAATACTAACAGTAAATTATACATTGCACTGATTTATAACAATATTTGTATAGTTGAAAATAATGAACATATTCAAACAAGGAAGAGACCTTCTCGTGAAGAAATTTTGTAGTAGCGCCATCTAGTGGCATAGAAGACTAAATTATATATATTTATGTCAAATCTACAGAGTAAGGAGTTTGCATACTTCTTGATTATTCTCTCTCCTACACACCGTTTTCACAAATTAATCTTTGTAGAGCGGCGTTGATGTCAGAAAGCGAGTTCGAAGACGATCCAAATTCCCAGGTGGTGTTGCCGCAAACTTTGTCCTCCCGGGGCGCCGCAGCGGACTCTAAATCAGCCATTAGATTATTCGAATTAGGCCCTAGGATATCTTTTCAACTTATCAAAGTGAGTATTTTTTACCTTTTTCACTATTTAAGTGTAAATGCCTTACCATTCCAAATTCATTAATAAACTTATTAATGCTATCATGAAAAATATCAACATCTAGCCGTTACAAAACTAATCCATTCAGCATGAGATGAAGTTGCCCATCTAGTAATCTTTGCCTTCATATCCTGTAGTTTTACTGCCTTAATCCCTCTTATAAACAAAATATATCCTTTGGTGTGTACTTTACACTCTATCCTGAGGAGATAAAAACCATTACTCCTAAGAATTTCTTCCAATTCTTGTCCCGTCTGGGACAATTGGAACGAATCGCCTACGCAGCGAACTCTAAAAAAAGAGCGAGTATAATAGATCTATGTAAATCGCAGTGCTACAGTTCTCTAGCACCTAATAACAACTATGTAACGTTACTTGCCTGCACTTTTTAAGTTTCCATTTTTTGCTTATGCTTGTCTTAGACAAGAGTATTCTAAATTAACAGTAAATCTTAGGTGCTTTTTTTTCTTTTATGGAGAATAAAAGAAAAAAAAGCACAGACATATAGTCCGTGCTCTTGTTAGTTAGTTTGTATATATTATTATTTTAAGTGTTTACAATTCAAATTAACTTATTATTTAAATTTCGGGTAAATATATTTTGGCCAGACCTTGTATAACCATTTTATAGATAGTAATATATAAATTTTTGTGCTGGCTTCCTTGAATGTTATTGGTAGACAAAAGTAAAGTAGCATAGAAGAAAGATCCTTATGGAGGTAAAGTGTCGCTGTTGTAATTGTATGACGGATATCCCATAATGACATGATGTCCGTTGTGCTGTTTTACCACTTACCGTCAGGAGGCCAACTTGTTTACCATTTCAATTACATTGAAAAAACTATTTCTGATGACAATATATCCTTTTAAACTTTTAGGGCATGATTTGTAGATACACGTGAGAATTCTTTTATGAAAATAATTCATTTACAATTCTATTTTACTTATGATTTATGTTCCAATTTTTAGGTAGAAGATGGACTAATGGATGGCGAGGTACTATTCCATGAGTTAGTAGAAAAAACAGATGAAGAAAAAGCGCTGATAAAGAAGAAACGAGAAGAAAAGAAGTAAGTGTGGTAACAATTACAATGTATACTCGTATATACCATATTATACTCGTATTTAAGAGGCCGAGAGAGAACTCTACTTTTGGACATTTCAACAAGAGAAATATTCATTACAATTTTCTTAGTCCATGTAGCATTTTAGTAGTATCACTTTACTTTCCATGATCGCGGGTTCAATTCTAGCTATTACAATCTTATAATTTCACCATTTTATTTATGAACTATTTGACAGTTGCAGTTACCGTACTGTAATATTCTTGACTAAGGCCACGCCAGCGTGTATAGCTAGACCAGCGGGTATATAATTCAATATGTATAAAAAAATCGAATTATACAAAACTATTTACAGACGGCAGAAAGAGAAACGGAAAGCTCAGCAAGAAGAAAATGTGAAGAGAAAACAAGAGCACAAGGAGGAGCTCAAACAGAAGGCTCTAGATGGAATAAAGAGAAAGAAAGAGGTCACGGAAAGTCAGAGGTAAGTAAGATGTTTATATTAACACTGGCGCAGTAATTGAAAATTTATCATGACACAAAGTAGCATTTCCACGCCGCATATTTATTCAATTATTTTGGAATTTAGTATATATAATTTGAAATGGAGAAGACCGTAGGACATAGGGACATAGAGGTCCCTTTGCAACAACAACTCCCTCTATGGCAGATCCATACCTGATTGACATGCTCAATCTATCATTCTCCGCTTGTGTCCGGTTACCGTCTTCCGTTAGAGCAGTTTGGTGCACTATTCTATATCAGCTTATAAATATGATAAAGTGGACCGAAAAGTCCGGACAATACTTAATGAAGAAAAATAACTTACTAGTAGGTCAATCGCTAGAAGAGATCTCTATTCAGCGATAAGGCCGCCCATTGTTGCCTCTCTCCTTTGCCAATATTATATGTTTATACATATTTATATATTAATAATGTATATAAATGTTTGTTTGTATTCTAAGAGAGAACAATAAACAAAAATCATTTCATTCATTTTCAATTATTACACCTGCATATGCACTAACTAGATAGTACAGCAAACAAAGTAAACAGCGACACCACATCTCATCATATATACCTTATCGCCGATCACAAAAGTAAACTTTTAAACCTTGGTCCAGGTTAATGGAGCTGGCTGCAGCGGAATCTCAGAACACGGCGGATATGGAGCAAGATGAGGACGATGATGACGCGGATTATTATAGGAAAGAAGTTGGCGCAGAGCCCGAACAAGGTACCTGTTATATTACTCCTCGAACACCACACCCTCTCTCATGCATATACACACACGCACACACAAACTGTCATATGAACCACAGTTCAAGCTAAAAAAAATTATAAATTTACCTCACAAACATAGTGAAAAGCCAGGAGCGCTATAGTTCTCACAAAATCAGTTGCCTTGTAGCGCTCCACAGGGAAAATATTAGAATTGGACAATTTTTTTAATATTTTTTTTTGCAGGAAAGGACATTGTGTAGGACATCAAAATTTTTCTTGGCATTTCTAGGCATACATGAGTTTTGTACTCATGTATGCCTCATGGCACTCAAACGGATAATAGTTTTTAAGATATTATATAGTACTGCAATCCCCGGAGAAAGCCTAGAGATCTGTAGGTTTTAACCTACTTCAGACTCTGGACTGAAAGTTTAAACATAATGTATGTTAATAAAGATTATTATTATTTTCTAAATAACAATGCATATAACAAACTGTGACTATATGGATTGTCCGGGTTATTATTATTAGTGTAGCTCTTTTAAACATAGAAGTTTTACATTACAGATCTTTTCACCGAAAAACGTAAACGAAAAGTAGATGACGATTCTAACAGAGGTTTCAAGAAGATGAGATTAGATAAAAAGTTGAAGAAAAAATTCCAAAAACATCAGGATGTTGGCAAAAACGTTCAACAAGATGGCGGCAAGAAAAAGTTCCAGAATCAAGAACACGGCAAAAGGAAGTTCCAGAGAGATCAAGATGGTGGTAAAAGGAGATTTACCAAGAAACCTGAGGATGGTAAAAATAAACATAAAGGACAAAAACCTTTTAATAAACAAAGAAAGGTATTTGGTGGTAAAGTCAATAAATTGAATAGAGGCAAAGGTCGGGAAGGAAAAGCTAAGGGTAAAGGAAAAAATAGAAAATAGTAATAAATGTTATTTATCCTATTTATTTTTTTTTTTAATTTATTCATCCTTTACGCATACTACTATTAATTTGAATTCACAGAAAAAAAATGGTTTATTCATAATTGTGTATAATAATAACGCAGGACAAAATTACACAGCGCCATCTAGTTCTAAACTAAGCAGAATTTGTGTTATGGGTACTAGACGTGGAATACCAGCCCAGGACTCAGGTGGACCACTAATTGAACATAATGATTTTATATATATTAGATATATATATTTTGTCACCGTACTATTTTAATATGTACTTTTAAGTACAGTACTTAGGTACATTAATAAAATACGTAATTTTTACTTGTATCTATTTTTTTTTAATTGTTCTTTATTTAAGTATAATAAAATCAATACAAATAGGTATACATCTAAGAGTACACAAAACATATTTTTTTAGCGTTACACAGACAATAAGTCTTTTTAAACATATAACAGTACGAAAATGATATATACAAAAAAAAAAAACAAAAGGTGACAGTCACTAATTAACTCTTTAAAAATATTTATGTATCTATTGTTATCAATATTAAATTATAAGTTCATGACTTGACCACGACTATGTGACCCCCTCCTAGCGCCTAAGCTGGATTCGCCCTTGCATAGAAAGCACTCAGACCACTACAATCATACTTATGAATACAAATGTTTGTACCGTGCGACGAATGGAACTCGCCATCGGTAGCGCAGTAACTTTATGCACTTTTGGTATAGAAGATAAGCATGTATTTATCTATAGAAAATGTCGTGATGGAATCGGGTTCCATAAACTATAGAGAAGTAATATTTTGGAGAGACCGAGGTAAATTGAATTAGGATATATTATTTTTGTTCCTGGCAATACATACAGATTTACTACTACATCTTATATATAAAATTCTCGTGTCACAGTTTTCGTTCCCATACTCCTCCGAAATGGCTTGACCGATTCTCATGAAATTTTGTGAGCGTATTGAGTAGGTCTGAGAATCGGCCAACATCTATTTTTCATCCCCCTAAATTTTATTTTTTTATTTTAAGGCAAAACAACGTTTGCAAGGACAGCTAGTTAAGTATAAAAATTATATATTGTTAAATACTATATACGCATTTAACAATATATAATTTTACATAATACAATGACGTCTATACTTATAAATACAATTGGAGTGTATTACATTTTTTACTATATGCACATGAATATTAATACGGACATACACCAAAATAATATTTTTTATAATTTTTGTCTGTCTGTTTCTTCCGGCTAATCTCTGAAATGGCTGGACCAATTTTGACGAGATTTTTTAGCAGGTAGCTGATGTGTTAAGGAGTAACTTAGGCTACTTTCATTTTAGACAAATAAAGTGAAATTCCACGCGGACGAAGTTGCAGGTACAGCTAGTAAGAAATAAAAGTAATAAATTAAACTTAAATCATTTATTGATCACATGATCTGATACAAAAGTAATTACAATTAAACTTAAACGACTCCTTATTTAATAATCTTGTAACTACAGCTTACACAGGTACCACACCTATTTATTATTCGGGATGCGGTCACTATTCATTAGAGGAAGGGGATTGTTAGTAATGTGGACTAATAACTCAATTACTAGCAATGCTATGTGAGATTGACCTCCATGTGGTTCCCCCTAGAAACTGGATATTCCTATGTATCATTACAATCAAGTCAAGGTTTTCTGTGTTTTAACATTTTGTACTTTCCATTTCAGGCGGAATTATTATTTATTATCACTAACTTTTTTACGAGATTTATGATTAGATCTTAATTTACGATCATAATGCTTATAATAATCGAATTTTGAACACGAAGTTCAACTTAAAAATAATGTGTTATTTTTTTTCCCAATCATCCTAATTATTTTGTTTACAAATCATTAGCTTCATCTCTACATACTATAAAATGAAACTCATGGTTTCATAACACCGACTTAACTTAACATATAACCAGTGATTATAGTCTGTTTTTAATCTCGGAGACAAATTTGACATTAGCAAAGTTACCAGGTTTTTGCAATTTTTAAATAGGGTTGGGGCACTATTTGAAATTAATTTTAATTACCCATTTTTATAGGTTACTTAGAAATCATGTGTGGGTGTTTATTTAAAACGCATAATCAGAAAATTCATAAAGTATAGGTATTAATAAATATACTACAACCCAATATTTATTAATTAAACTTTATATAAATAAAAAATAGTTTTTTTTAATTTTTCACTGTAAAAAGATTAACTGCCTTTTTTATAAAACAAATGTCCTAGCTGTCAAGATTGTGACCGGACTTGCAGCTTTTGGACGGTGGCGCTGCAAAACTATAAAAGGTTTATAGTTAGCTAAAATAACATGACTATTAAAAAAGGTGCTGACATATTAATTATATGACTTAACATATAACGGATGAGTAGAAGGCTTAAATTAAAAATACGATATCGTCTGCCATCATGACCTGGTTGTCTACAGTCATGCGCTCCAGCGCCGCTTGTATCTCATCAGAGTCGAACGTCTCGTGCGAGTATTTCTCGTTCATGTAAGTCGTGATACGCTCGAGGGGCAGCATGTTGACGCGTTCATCCCGGAACAGTTGCTGGAGAGCGCTCTTGAACTGACCCAGTCTGGAGACAATCAAATATAATAAGTGCAATCTTAATGCAACATACCTCAATATAACGACCTCCTAGATTTAACAAATTCTTAGTAATAATCCATAAGAGTCAATGTAAAATATACTTTCACATTGCGAACAACCTTTATAACGAATTTTCAACTGTCAAGAAGAAGTACAAATACCTCGAGTTAACGAATTTTGTCAACCTAAAACCTTTATAAAAAGTTGTATGTATAACTCTTAATCTCATAGTATGTGATTCTGTGGATGTTTTTGTTCATTGATCATTGTTGTTTGATGGAAAGTAATGTAAAAACACTGCTGCTCGTCACATGTAGGCTAAGAAATGTTTTTTCCTCTTTATAACGATTTTTAGACCAACATAACCTCAACATAACAAATCTCAGTTCAACGAATTACTTGATATACCGAATATTTACTTGTCCCCATTCGATTTGTTATGCCGAGGTTGCATTATACTTTGCAGTAAGACGTAGAATAATGGAATGTTTAGATATGTCATTTTATCTAACGTCATGTAATTCACATAGCGTTTAGTGTATGTAGACATAGGAAATCAAAATATTCATGTAGGTCTATTACAAACTAAGGTGTGTTAAACCTACCATCAGATTATTCAGGATTTATTTATTATAGACTATATTTTATCTTATAAAAAGCTAAAAATATTCGTGTTAAAACTAGTTTAATTATATTTGGATATAATGATTTTTATTTTTATTTCAGACTAGCTGTTTCTTCCGACTTCGGAACAAAACCCTGTTTTGTTAGATAAAAGATTAGTCTATGGTCATCATTGTGTTACAATCTATCTCTTATCTTCTACTGGTGCTCCGTTAACGTAAACCGTTCGCACATTTGTTTGCATAGTTCCATTGCCCATTAAAAAACGGGCCGTTCTATTATTTCTTTGCTTTGCTTATTTTGGATGACATGGGTGTGGGGGAGTCTAGATGATGATTACGTCATCGTCAGTTATTTACTTTTCTACGCAACCCTCACATTGTCTTTGTTAAAAAAACAATACATTAATTGGAAAATGTTTACGTAAGCATGGGGGTTAGTAATTATAATCAATCTGTTTACGTAATACTTGAACGGCCACAAACTGCGTAGTTGGTACGCATGAATGTAGTACCTGTTAGCGTCTATAGTCTTCTGTGAGGATCTGGTCGTTCGCTGTGAGGGTTCAGGCTGCGAGGAGTGTGCCGCCCGTAGCATCGGCTCTGCTTCTTCGTCAGACGAGAACTGGTAAGGATCTTCGCTCTCACCATCCTGTAAATATGTAATAATACAATATCCCTGGACAATTTACACAGCGCCATAGTCCCAAACTAAGCCAGCTTGTGTTATGGGCACTAGACAACTGATATAATGAATCTACAACACGGTATTCGAAATCCGTGCACTCAAATGCCATGAAATTGAATATACTTAATTGTTAATTGTTCATAGTTCATTAAATTAAATTATGATCTTTTTCGTTGTTTTCTCGCATATCTTCAGTTAATTTTTAAGCTATTGCATAGCTTTTATAGTGGGCTTTGAGCGCGGTGACCGAATCAAGAAATTCCGTAACGAAAATAAACCTAACACCACCCACTCCGACCGGCACAGCGGTGCGGCGTTGAAAGTCGTGCATCGTCTAACGTCGTTTCAGTTCGGCAGACTTCGGCACGGTGTGTGTGCGTGCGACTAGCATAGTACACGAAGCTCGCACGAGACGAGCTGCTCCGAAATCGGACGAGTACGTAAGCAGCTGTTTGTGAGAAAGTAAATTATTTTATTACTGTATAATAAATTGTTTTCTTATCGGTCACCACGCTCAAAAAGTGTGACTTGAATTAATATAAAAAAAAAGCACTGCATAAATAAAAAAACATAATTGCATAAGCTGATAAAAAAATGCTATGCAATAGCTTTACCGCGGCAGTCCCCGAGTGCCACTTAATTTGTTTATTATATCTACAGATATAGATGAGATTAGATACCGCTCTGCGGGTTCTCTTGGCGCGTGGGGTGGCGTTCCTGGCAGCCTCGTCCTCGCCGTCTGAGGACGCGCGACGCTTACGACGTTTCTCCTTTGTTAGTACCTGAAACATACATCATAAAAATATAATCATAATTCTTGTGAATTCTTTCATTTTAATGTTTAGTTAAAAACACTACAAAATTTATTGCCATCTGTGTTTTTACAGTAATTATTTAGTATTATTGTGCCATTTATATAATATTATATCTTTTTATATTACGACGGCGGTAAAGCATACATCCCATCTGATGGTAAACGGTTACCGTAGCCTATAGACGTCTGAAACATCAGGGATATTCCTTTTTTTCGTCTGGCCATGGGGTATTTTTTTATGGTTATTACAAACCACCAACTAACACTAATTTATTAGAATCAAAATATTAAATAAACATTAAATTAGCCGTAGTGATTAGAGCAGACCAGTCCCTATAAGCAGCACTGTTACCCACTGTTACTGCACGCAGTGTTACCCACCGTGTGCAGTTCATTATGTATTGAACATTTACTTAGTCTCAACAATTTCCTAGTGATTTCTTCCTAAAACCTAATATTGAAATTTTAGAAAGGCTAAGGCATGGCACTAAAAAGGTTGGGAAACACTGAACGGTTCAAGATTACGACGGATGAGTCAGCCATCGCTGCGCTCGACAATATTTTCGGGAGCCCAATGAATGGCCACGAATATAAGAATGCCAACTAGTCACGAGAGACTGTCACTTCAATATACCGACCTTCTTGAAGTATGCATACTGGACGAGCTCAATGGCCGCGAGAGCGTCGTCTTGTGTGACTTGGAAGCTCAGGCGGCACTTGGCGTGCGCGGTCGCCACCCGAATCAACGTCTCCAGCGTACGCGCCGTCACGGGCTGCGTCTGTGTCACCAGATTGTTACCATTGTAGAAGCCATCACAATACGGTGCTTAAATGCGTAGCGTAGCGATTTTTGGCTATCGCTGACAACCGCAGTAGCTTAGCGGTTTATCACACCGCTTTACTTCCGATGGTCGCGGGTTCGATTTCTCACGATACAAACATTTGTATTAAAGAGTATGATTGTTTCAATCGGTCTGGATGTTTTCTATGTTATATTATATATATGTTTTTACATAAAAACGTATCTATATATTTCTATCAGTTGTCTAGTACTTATAATACAAGCTTTGGTTGGCTTGGGACTACATGGAGCTGTGTGAATTGTACGGAGATATAGAAAGCAGTGAGACCTATTTACTTAAGCGCACACACATTTAGAAAGAGTGAAGAAAAGAGAATAATAAGGACAATAAGAAATTAAAGGGAAATAAAATGTGATTAGACAGCTAGCAAGGAATTGAATGCTCGTAATACCAAAGGGGACAACTCTATAAAATATAAATCTATTCCTCCTACAGAAATGGTTGACTATTACCTCCATTTTTTTTTTTTCTAAAAACATCCACAACTTCATGTAATTAGGAGCAGTATTTATTTAATTGGTGGTTCTTTCTTCCTGTATTTATAACTAGCTGTGCGCCTGGTATCACCCGCGTTAATTTTCAATATAAAATATAGCCCATGTATTATTCTGATGCATAAGCTATATTACTGTAAAGTATCATCAAAATCCGTGATTGCGTGAAAGAAAAACATCCATACTTACAAACTTTCGCGTTTATAATATTATCCAGATATCTGTTGATTTCATTTAGATTCTCCTATGGAGTATTTCACTAAAGTATTATTTACGTCCTCACCCTGGCCACATCGCTGTCCATCATATCCTGGTTCCTCAGTCTGGCGTACTCATCAGCGATGACGTCGGACGCCTCCTGCGTGAGTTTCGGCTTCATTAGACGTGCAATGTGGATGTACTTGCGCATAAACTTCGTGCTCAGGATCTGGTCCTTCTTCCTGCGAGTATTACCGTGCAGCAGGGGGTCATACTTCTCATAAATGGACTCATTTGAATCCTAAAACACATTGGAGTAATTAGCAAACACAAAAAATAAAATAACAAATGACATCATCAATAATAACATACTCAAATACCACACACCTTTTATGGCAAATAAAACAAGAGAAAAAAAGGTCTTCAAATAATTTTAATAATACAGAATTATTTCGAGGACGGAATCGAATCACCACCAGACGCAAAGCGGAGTACTAAACAACTACACCACTGAGACCGTCAATTAGAATATGGATTGAATTATAGTAAATACGGATTTACTATAATTCAATCCATTTTCTAATTAACGACTTTCAACAGTCATGGCGTACACGGGTGCGCCATGACTGTTGAAAGTCGTTCAACAAATTATTAGAGAAAGCTTTCATTCTTTATATAAAATAATACAAAATTATTACAATAACATGTAAAATGTAAACAACTACATAAAAACTGTGTTGCAGTTAGTTGCGTCCTCCTCTCTCTCTCCACAATTAATAAAAATATGGCCATGTTAACTTTAACCTTGTGATTAATGAATTAAAGTGTATTTTATTACCTCCACTTCATCAGTATCGGGATTTTCGGTTGAGAGCATTTCAACAGTTGAGCCCATGGGTAAAACTTCCCCATCCTGCTCTTTTGGATTTCTAGAACAAAAACATTATATTGTTATTTATTTTATGTATGTATGAAAATAATTACATAAGATTATTTTATTAAGGTCGCTGAACAGTCAACACATCCGGCTCGAAGGACCACAAAAATGTATGAGTCTGCTGTGTCTCACTCGATCTGGATGCTATGAGGTATAAATTATAAGTCCCGGACTGCTTTCTAACTTGATTTATTGAGTATACGATGAGTGTGGACTGATGTTTGCTTGTATTTGGTGTACTGAAGGGAAAAAGGTATGTGTGGTCGTTATATGGATGTGGAGCGGTATAAAATGCTGACGGCTGTTATAGTGACGTACCATACAAAACTTCTAAACTATATCCAAACTCTATCCATTGCCTATTGTGGTGTAGTGATCAGGTAGACACACTGAATATTTGTGTTTTGTGTATAAATAATTATTATTATTAACAGGGCATGTAAGAAGGTTCCGTGTTATTTGCCAGTTTTATTTTAAAGTTAATCTTGTCTTGGTTATTTACAATGGTTAGCTGGTAGAGAATGCCATATGGCAGTAAGCTCGCCAATTGTACGTTTATTTTAGATAGTGCAATAATATATTATATATATATATATATACATATATATTATTATGACATACCTGTATCTGTGCATTCTCAGTACATGTTCAGATATCATATTGTCGTGATCCGCATCAGCGATGTCCAGCATCACGAACAGAAGGTCGAAACGCGACAGCAACGAGTCCTGGAGCCCGATATTCTCCATCGGCGTCTTGTATTGATCGTACTGTATGTTACAATTGTATTAAACTTTTTAAAAATAATTCTATTTTTATTAGAGACTAGATGTACTCGCGACTTCGTCCGGTCGGACTTCGTCCGCGTGGAATAGTGACGTTGACCAAATAAAGAAAAATATTTAATAATCTAAACCAAAAATTCAAAGAAATAAAATTTCTTTGGAAAGACCTAATTGGCGGCGACCAGTACGGAGCACCGTGCGTTGAGTTCGGCATTAATATATGAAATAATATAAATATCAATAATCTGTGGTTGACACTGACGACGCTAATCTGCGACTGCAACGGTATACCACTCCTTTCGGCCAGTAGCCCTTCATGAAGGTGAACAGCATGTTGCAGAAGGTGGGGTCCCGGGCCAACTCCCGCCTGACGGATACGACTTTAGTCTGAGGGCACCGCTTCGAATTTCGATCGTGTTTGGATTGGACGGGATCGATCAGAGTGAAAGTACAAAGAAGGTACGTACCCTGCCGTAGACGGGGTTGGCTGCAGCTAGTACTGAGCAGCGCGCGTTGAGGGCGGCGTGCACGCCCGCCTTGGCGATGGTGACGCGGCCCTGCTCCATGACCTCGTGGATGGCGGTGCGGTCCACGTCCGACATCTTGTCGAACTCGTCGATGCACACCACGCCGCGGTCCGCCAGCACCATCGCGCCGGCCTCCAGTCTACGACCACCGTCTTATGATGAACTTTACTCTTTTTAAAATACATAATTTTTTTATTATGATGTTGCTATAAAAATAACATACACTCCTACAACGTGATAGATGATATGAATAAAAGAAGAGTATGTTTAGATATGACGACCGATAGAGTGCAGTGGAAGAGAATGACATACTGCGCCGACTAATGGGATAAAGGCAAGGCAATGATAATGACACTCCTACAACGTAATTCTACCGACGACCGTTATTTTTTTATTAAGATATTAGTACCCTCGTTTAACATATATGTAAGAGTAGTAGCCCTTCGAGCTAAACCCATCGAACAGGGGTGTCCCCACTGTTTAAAGGGGACCCCTCCGATTGATCCCCCGTCCAATTCAAACGGGGATGGAAATTACGACGGACTAAGCCGTGGTTCGAACCCCTAGTGGTGGCCTCAGACTAAAGTTGTATCCGTCAGGTTGGAGTTGGTCTTCATCCGCTTCATAAGTCCTGCTGGTTTGGTTTGCCATCTGCACTCGCTCCCTATCGTCCAGTGAAGCTGTAAAGGCCAGCTGAGGCCAACAGTATTAGAGTAGTCCGAAAATAAATAAATAAAGGTTTAGGTCGAAGGGCTTTGAAGGGGGAAATTCCTACCGTCTGTCTCCTGTGTCGGGGTCGGTGGTGACTGCTGCGGTGAGGCCCACGCCGGAGGACCCTCGGCCGGTGGTGGTGATAGCACGAGGCGCCGTCATCAGCACGTAACGGAGTAACTGTGATTTCGCCACTGACGGGTCGCCGATTAACAGTATGTTGATGTCACTGAATTAACATAATAGTTTACGTATCAAAATTACACATACAGGTGAAACTAAGTCTAGATTCAGTTAGATTTCAAATAAGCATTGTCCAGATTAAAGTCTTTATTTATAAATCATGCATGATTAGATACGAATTTGTCCCACATGTGTAGCTTTGATAACATAGAAAATAATTAAATTTAATGTTAAATATAATTCTTGAACAATAATAAAAAACAATGATGTCGTAATTATATAAAAGTAACAAAATAATACATATTATGTATCACAGATAAGATAATATTTTATGTATAAAATAAAATTAATAATAGTAAGTTTTACGTCTGAAGGTAGCGGATTCGATTCCTCAAACGTTTAAACATTTGTATTCGTAAGTGTAATTGTTTTTATTGGTCTGAGTGTTTTCTATGTATATTATCTATGCATTTAAAAAAAACATATCTGTATTTGTTCTGTTGTTTAGTACCCCATAAGACTTACCTACTTAGCTTAGGACTAGATTGCGCAGTGGGAAATTTTCCTCAGATTTTATTATTCACCCAGCCTTATATAGGGAATTTAAAAAACTTACCCCCTAAGTCTAGTGCCATTGGGCAATATCTTCTCCATCCCACCGAGCAACAAGCAAAGAATGGCTCTCTTTATAAAATCGTGGCCGTGTATAGAAGGCGCCAGTGACTTGCTCAGCATCTCAAACATGTCCACATTGGTACGCTTCGCCAGCCGCTTGCACAGTTTGATGTCTTCCAATGTAATGTTCGGATTCATATCCTTGTTTATTTGTGTTATGTTGTTGGCTATTAGTATTGTTCTAGAATGTTCATTGATGTATTGTTAGTGAATGTAACATCATATTATTTTGCATAATATATTGTAACATACTTATCCACTGTGACTATTATATAATTTTTATTAAAGGGTTATGAAATGATCTACACATCTGCACTAAAAGTATATATATGTATATGTATATAGTAACTAATTAGCAAACATTGTTTTGCCATATAAATTAAAGTTATAAAAAAAACAGGGGTCAATGGAGAAAGGTTGAAAATTTGAAGTAGTATGTATTTGTCAATGCTAAAATTGTTAAAAAAAATAGGGGTGAAAATATTATTAACATGATAAAAACATAAGCGAATATATTTAGTGACTTCATTGATCTAGGGATGTAGTGCAGTGATTTACTTTAAATAGTCAAGAGTTAGATTCCCGCATAGTTCCAACATTTGTATAAAAGCACCAGTAAATTTGTCTGGATTGTAATAATTATATAATGTAATTGTAGTATACCTGAATGTACCCGCTGTAAAACTGCCCTGTTTTGATGGCAAACATCTGTAGTTGCCAACAACCTGTACCCTGTCCCCAGGCTTGCATTTATCCACCAGATCATCATCACAGATTATATCAACACTCCTCGGCAGCTGGCCGGCTGGTGCCTTCTCCGGCATCTCCTGCACTGTTATAGTCTGGTGGTCCTTGTACCGGGAGAGACCATATTCAGTCTCTAGGGGATTACCATCATCATCCTATAATTAAAATTAAAATAATGATTAATTAATGAAATAAAAAATAGTTCAGATAAAATGACAGCCTTTGTGGACATCTCTACTAATAATTGTTTATTGTCCCTCAGGTATTGTGCTATCCTTAACTCTAATATAATGAATCTGAATGAAATTGTCAAACCTTACAGAGCAAACTAAAATAAGCCACAGGCACAAAATAACACTGTGTTTCTCAAATCCTGACATTGGCAAAATCACCGATCAAATTAGTGGCAGCCATTCAAAATAAAGACTTCTTCTTTATGATCTAGCTGTTTAGCACTTTACTTTACTTCCAATCAACCCCGCTAAGGTTGATTCCTCACATGATATATAGATATACTTAGAAAAAAAATGTATCTAAGTATTTATAACAGTTATATGGTACCCATAACACAAGTTCTATTTAGCTTGGCACTACATGGTGTGTGTGAATTGTCCAGGGGTTAAAAAACCAAAACCAAAACTAAAACAATACTTATTATAACTAAGTAATATATTGTAAATAAATTAAAAAAGTACACATACCTTGGTGGGGTACACAGCAGAGGTCGGGAATGCCTCAAATGAGGTGAGGTCAGTGTATTTACGTTCCATTACCTTCTTTGTGGTCGGGCAGTAGTGTACACTTCTAACTACTTTTGGCCTAACCAAGGACACCCTCGTCACAATACCTTCCACACATATCAAGTTCCCTAAGAACCTGAAATATTATTTACTGAATTGATACTCCAACTACTGATAAGTAGCGTGGCGAGTAGAAGATAGGGAATGTCTGTGTGCACTTTAATATCAAATTATTAATTTAAAACTTTTGTCCAATTAACATTATTTTTTAATTTGGTTTTAAATCATATTTTATTTTAAAAATAAAATATATTCTTCTATTTTTTGATTTGATTACTCTGACTACTCTCACATCTAGTGGCTACGAAGCAATATTCAGTTATTCCTTTAAGTAAAGAGATTTTTAAATTTCTTTAAATTTAAATTAGAAACAATATTACAATCTGAGTATCTTTGTAGGTTTATATTCTCAAGATACGTAATAAAATTCTATTCCTTTATTAGATAAAAAAAATCATAAGCTTACCTGGACGTTAAACTCCTAGGAGTAACATGTTTGTTTCCAAAACTACCCGAGAAGGCTACAAAGAACTCCTCCTTTATTTTGGCATATGTAGGGTCGATAGATGATACATATTCTTTCAAGGCTTTCTGAAACGCTATTTGCTCCTCAAAAGCGTTCTCCAGTAAGTTCTTAGCACGCTCTGGGTTCTTCCTCCTGAGATCATTTACGTTAACAACAAGACGCTGCGATTTGTCTCCTATCATTTGTTTTACAGCTTCCATATAGATCGCTTGGTCCTCCTATTAATAGAAAAACAAGTATTTTATAACTTACTTTTAACAAATTTACGTATATATTTGTCAAAACAAAGGACGTCCATAATTTGAGGTTAGTATATTTAAAGTTACCTACCTCATCATCCAAAAACTCCAAGTATTCTCTTTGTAAATCCCTAAGACGTTGATCAATATCGCCATCTTCCATTGTATAAATTTAATTTTAACACTGTAAATATTAAAATATTATATTTTGATTCTTAAATTCAAGTACCGTTGATAACTTTCCACTGACAGCTTGTAATTTTGGCGCCAAAATTTTTTTTTATTAATATATATTTACGCAAATGGAAGAGGATTATTATGGACCTCATAAATCCAATTATCACTGTGACGCTATCAAAAATGTATAACAGATTGCTCTGTGCATTGCAGAGAGCATAGCTGTGCTCTGACGTAGTTTTTTTGATCTGTGATGTTGTTTTGAATTGTTAGAAGTTGTCTTTTTATCTAAACAAAATTGAGAGAAATCTTATTAATATTACTGCAATTGTGAAAATTATATATAATTCAAAATATATATTTAAGTGTAATGGCCTAGGTATAGTTAAAGGAAATAAAAATATCATGTCTATATCTGAACAAAATTCGAATTCTAACCTATCGTCGCAGGAAAGCACTACGGAAACAGATAGACCGAAATTAAAAATCCTAGCGTTTCATGGATACCGACAGAATGGTGCAGTATTCAGAGCCAAAATTGGGTCATTTCGTAAAGCTGTGTCTAAATACGCCCAACTTACATTTATAACAGCGCCGCATAAAATTGTGAATGAAGACGGCGGGGAAGATGGTAGATTTCATATTTATCTTTCCTTTTCATTTTGTCTGTAATATGGTCTTTAAATTGTATTCAGTGTAAAAACAAAATATTATATACTGACCAACTTTATCAAATTTCTTTAGTTAAAAATCAATATTTCAGATGCTCGTGCATGGTGGTTCAATGCTGAAGACAATACATTCAGCGGAAAATGTTTAGGTGGACCCGCCATAGGGTTTGAGGACACTATACGGCTGATTGAGAAGACAGTGGCAGAACATGGACCTTATGATGGGTTTATGGGGTTCTCCCAGGGAGCATGCCTTGTTGGCTTACTAGCTGCTATGCAGCACAAAGGATGTATGTATTGTTTATGGTATTTTCAGTACATATTTAGTCTACTGATGGTATGTTCATTAAGATATACCTTACTAAAATAATCAATAAAATTTTATATTATGCTACATTTACTTTAATATAAGATACAATCTATTCTTAAAAGTAGCTTATTGGTTTCTTGCTGTAGCATTTTTTTTTTCTTTTAGATTTGCCCTTCACATTCAAGTTTGCAATATTTGCATCTGGATTTCGTTCGGGTAGCTTAGTTCATAAAGGATTCTATGATGAAGACATAAATTTGCCATCACTACATGTTTATGGGGAGAGTGATTCAATTATACCAAAAGGTAACATTATATTATTATTAATGTACTTATACAATTTTTTTTTTTTGTACATTTTAGAATCTTTTTTTACGCAACAGGGTTCTTTTCTATATTGAACTAATGGTTTCATACATCTGTGTTTAATATCATACATATAATGTACTTATTACTCTCATGTAGTTAAAATGATATTTAGTACATTATCAAATTAATGAGCCATTAAATAAATTAATCTCTAATATTTTGTTTTAGAAATGAGTGAGTCTTTAATTAGTCTATTTTTACAACCTGTGGTAGCTGAACACTCTGGTGGTCACTATGTGGCCTGCTCTGGTTCCATCAAGGATGCTTACTTGGATTTCCTACATGATAGATATGAAGATTTAAGGGAACCTAATGAAACTGAAAACAATTCTTAGTAATAAATGACAATAAGTATGTAAATAAGAAAATGTTTTTTATTTTGATAATTCAGTATGCCATCACTTCTAATACCAATTCAACTTAAGTCGTATTATGAGTTTAATATAAATCGAACATTTATTTTCAGTAATATCTGTTTATTATTATTATTTAAAAAGAATCCACTGACCAAACAATCACTACAGAAACTACGAAATGAGTAAAAAAATAATACCAAAATGTGTGTGACAATGAAAATATGCAATTTTTATAGTACTTTATAAAATAAAAGGACTGTCGGGTTTAAATTTTACACGATTCAAAAGCTTATTGACTATAACCAGTTTTTTTAACTGTAAATTATTAAGAACCCAAGTCTATAAAATTATTAAAAAAAAAAATTTTTAGGTTATCTCATCTTTAAGTTGTCTTAATATATATTTCTATTTGAATTGAAAATATTGACATTGATTTACAATAATTAATAAAGTTTTATGATGTGGCGTCGATATTTAATGTGGTTTGCTCAAGAACATGTCGACTTTCGTCATGCAGTGAGTTTCAGCGTTTTTATTAATTTTTTAATATGAAAATATTAGGGTTCTTTTAAACGTTTCTCTTTAAATTTGTTTACAGGAAATGCAAAGTATACTTACGCTCTACAATATTCCTATTAAATACGTAGAGAAACCATGTATTAAAAAACCATACTGGATTGTTGAGGTGCCTTCGGAGGAATTCATTAAAAAAATCGCTTCTAGGTCTGTTTTGATTAAAAATTGCATTGAATTATGGGGTAGAGCCAAAACAGAGTCTCAATTACACGAAAACTTGAGGAGTGCTATGAAAAATGATACGGGACAGTGGATAGTGAATGAAAGGCACAATACAGAAATAAGTGATGAGTATATTTGCCCAAGTGAACTGATACAATCCTGTTGTTCTGCTGATAAGTCTTTTAAAGTGGAAATTGAGACATTCTGCAAACATTTCTCTATGCAAGAAAAAGTTAACAAAATTGAGGTAATAAAGCTTTCTTATGTTAGTCAATTGTTGACAAAATTGAGGTAATAAAGATTTCTTATGTTAGTCAATTATTAACAAAATTGAGGTAATAAAGCTTTCTTATGTTAGTCAATTGTTAACAAAATTGAGGTAATCAAGATTTCTTATATTAGTCAATTGTTAACAAAATTGAGGTAATAAAGCTTTCTTATGTTAGTCAATTGTTAACAAAATTGAGGTACCTAATCAAGCTTTCTTATGTTAGTCAATTGTTAACAAAATTGAGGTAATCAAGCTTTCCTATGTTAGTAAAATTAGTATGAAAGAAGCTTTATAAGACAATTATTGACTTCTTCAGAATTCTAGCAGTTTGGTTCACCATCTCACTTTTAGATGGTCACACATTCAATTTCTCACAAATATTAGTATTAGTGAGTATGATTGTATGACTTGGTCTGGGTGTTTTCAGTATATATTATGTATGCATAAAAAAAATGAATCTAAGTATTTATATCAGTTGTCTAGTACACATAACACAAGGTCTGCTTAGCTTGGGACTAGTTGATTTCACTGTCAATTGTCCCCTGTACAAAATAAAAAAATCACAATTATAGATATTTCATGATGTTTCTATAAGATATTCTCATAGACAATTTGTAATGTATGCATGCAAAGGCAAGACGGGTTGTTAATCTAAAATATAACTCAAAGGTGACTGACTGATATATTGATCTATCAGCGCACAGCCCAAACCACCCATGCAGATAGATGTTATATAATTATTAAGAAAGGATTTTGATAAATTCCACCCCTAAGGGGATAAATTAAGCCACGGGCAAAAGCTAGTACTTTATAAACCACTTATAGAGAGACAATAATCATTAAATATTTTCAGACATTCAGTTATTTACCATTAGAGGGCACAGTAAAACTAAAAAACCCGGATGTGACACTGGCCTATTTGGAGTTTTATGGTGTAGATCCAAATAATGTGCCTGACAAACCATATGACTTGTTTTTTGGAAAATGGGTAAGTGTACAAAACTACTATAAAGTATACAAGTTTGATAGTTTATTATTGACAATACAAATAAATGTAAATAATTTATTTATCACTACATAGTATAAAACAAAGTCGCTGTCACTTACTGTCCAACCCTATGTATGCTTAAATCTTTAAAACGATGCAACAGTTTTTAAATCATTTTGTTTAATTGTTTAATAGATAGAGTGATTCTAGAGGAAGGTTTATATATATAATACATGTACACCGGGGCGAATCCGGAGCGAGTAGCTAGTTAAATATATATGTAAATTAATTTATTATTAAGTTATAATAATCCAAAATATGGAAATAAGTATGTATGAAATGTAACAATTAAAAGAAATATAATAAAGATATATGTATATGAAAATCAGTTTTTGAGTAATCTATATAGATAGAAATTAATAACTCTTATAAGTCATTATGAGTAAAGTAACTAAAGCATTAGAAATAGAAATAATCATTATTTAAATAACCTTAATATAAGCAAGTCATATTTTTTATTCATTCACTTATTTTGAACTCAGACTCATTACAAGAAGAAATAGCAAGACACTTGCTTGTTGCTCTTTTAAATAATCCTTGTTTTAAATTAATACATATTAACCAGGAGGCATAGGTAAAGAGACATAGAAATGAGAGAGAGAGAGACATTCTTTATGCAACCGTATAATATTGTAGCACTAAGAATTTCAAGATAGATATATTTTTACTAACATTATTAACCTTAGAGGTACTTACCATGCCAAAACAAGCGCTGATTACATGTTCTCATATACAGGTACACATTATGATACTGAGCTTGTAGAACAGAATACAACTTTATTATTTTGGCATAGAAATCAAATAAAAAATAATTTATTCATACAGGACATTTTAGTTGCTTATGAATGTCAAGTTTTTTTTTATTAATCATATATTTTCTATAGATTCTATGGTAGGGAAAACATATTAATACAAAAAAAAATTGTAACGTAACTTAACTGAATTTCTTTATTTTTAAAAACCAGTTTATTTATGTTGTGTAATTATGTGTTTATGACTAATATAAAATGAAAATCCCGTGTATGACCAACTATTGCTATGCACATTTGTCATTTAGTGTCATGCAGGCAACAAATCATGAATTTGATACTACAGTGGTGTACTTTATAGTTGAAAATAACTTTCTTATATATTTTAAAGGTAGCTGATGGTCAAAGAGATCTTATCCATGTTCTATCATTAAAAAAACGGCAATTTATTGGAAACACCAGCATGGATGCACAGCTGTCAATAATAATGGCCAACCAGGCAAAGGTGAAGACGGGTGATCTCTTGCTGGACCCCTTTGTAGGGTCTGGTTCCTTACTTGTAGCTGCCGCGCATTTTGGAGGTAAAATATACGACTAGGCACTTCTTTACATAGTAAAAAATACAGTTACATCCATTATCTGATTGCTTAGATCTTTTAAACTATGCAACGGATTTTATGCAGTTTTTGGGAATAGATGGAGTGATTCAAGTGGAAGGTTTATATGTGTATTACATGTACACCCGTGTGAAGCCGGATCAGGTATATACTATAATGCTAACAAATTATCATAGTGTTACTTATATGTAAATTATATATATTATATAAATATATTACAATAATAATTAATATATTAATACCTGAAGCAAAAACTTTGTACCCCTTATTATGAAAATTGGAGAAGGAGTATGAAATTTCGCACAACTATGTTTTATATAGAGAAGTTGTGTAGAATGCTAATATTGTTTAAAAATTATGCATGATACGTACATTAAATTAATAAAATTTATTTCACACACTCACTTTAATAATGTTCAAACTTATAATTAAATTAATTGTGGTCGTATTTCGACCACTGATCCACCACTCTTTATATAATTTCTAAGTATAATTTTTTCAGCATACGTGTTGGGGTCCGACATAGATTTCATGATGTTACACGCACGGACGCGACCAACACGCGTCGGACAAAAGGTAACAATGTATGTATTACAACGGTAAAGGTACATGTTGTAAATGTGTATGTTGTTAACATAGCTGTTTAACCATATGTAAATATGTTTGGCATATACACTTTCTGAACGATTTATTATAAAAATCTTATTAATTTCGAACCTCTCTAATGCTGTTGGCCGCAGCTGGCCTTTACTTTTCACCGGACTTTAACTTAACTAGGTATAATTATGCAATATTACGTAGGAAAATAATCTCTATAGAAGAACAATTAAAAAGGGGAAATCATGTGTGTGGGCTGTGTTTGTGTGTTTTGTTGCGTCTGTATTTATAATATTAGTATGGATTTTAACTTGGTCTCTCGATGACAGTGGTACAGTTTTATGAGTTTTCTTACTGACTTTCCACCTGCTATATCCTTTACAATTGACCTCGTCTTACTAATATTATAAACGTGAAAGTTTGAGAGTATGGCTGCCTGTATGTTTATTACTCTTTCACTCAAAAACTACTGAATGGGTTTTTATGAAACTTTACAGTAATAGTCAGCTTATAAGATATAATTTTAGAAGCTATTGCAATTCAATTAATTATTGCATAAAATGTTATGTGAATTTGGGTGTGGTACTTTAAATCATTAATATTTGTTCGCACATTTATTTGAAATGTATCATTATCATTGCATATCATTAAAATTCATGATATTATTCTGATTTATTCATCAAATTCAAAAATTATTTATTCATGTAGGACATTTTTGCCGCTTATGAACATCAAGTTTATTACATTATAATTTTAATTTTTTCCTACCGTCCAGTTCGGTATATAGATCCAATTGAGAAGAACTGGCAAGAAACTCAATTGAATTACTTTTTTTTAAAAGCCAGTTTATTTACAATGTATATTTATATCATTAAATGAAAATCAAGTACATGAACAACTATTGCCATGCACGCTCGTCATTCAAGTAATCGTTTAGTGAGTAATAGGCTTTGCTCACCCTCAAATATGACTTAACAGATGTTTTGAATTTATTTAAGGGTAATTCCAATATATCCTTTGGTATCTTATTATACATTTTTATACCTATTCCCATAAAAGACCTATAGACTTTTTCTAAACTATACTTGGGGACAGCAATTTTATCTTTAAATCTAGTATTAATACTATGAATATTGCTGTTTTTTTATGTATTCATATATCATTATTCTGATGCATAAGCTATATTAGGAAAATTGAAATTAAAAAAAAAAATAATTAGAATTAAATAAAAATTAAAAATAAATTAAAAAATAGGCAAAATTACGTAAAATTTCATCACAATCCTATCAGTAGTTTTTGCGTGAAAAAGTTATATTAATTAATAGTGTTGTATAAATTGGGAGAAATATATAATGATAAAAGTCAAATCAGTGTGCAGACGAAATTGCGCGGGTCAGCTAGAAAATTGTTCGGTAGTAAATAAGTATACAATTAATTATAGGAACGCCACAAAGATGAAAGTATACGCGCCAACATGAAACAGTACGGCACAGAATCTCGGTACTTGGATGTGGTCGTGAGCGACTTCTCACTGCCCAACTGGCACGAGCGGCTCACGCTTGACGCCATCATCACTGACCGTAAGTCTTTATTTATACCTATTTGGATTCCCTTTTTAGTATGTTTTATTTATTCTACACAATAAAATAAGCTGAATAGTTTGTTTGTTTGTTTGTTTGTTTGTTTGTTTGTTTGTTTGAACGCGCTAATCTCAGGAACTACTGGTTCGAATTGAAAAATTCTTATTGCGTTGGATAGTTCATTTGCCGAGGAAGACTTTAACATTACGCTACGAGTAGGAGCTGAGCTGCAATGAAAAATATTGCAATAGTTGGGGAAATGAAACGCAGACGAAGTTGCGCTGGTCAGCTAGTGTACAATATAACTTGTACAAAAAGGCGAGCTTAATGCCGTATGGCATTCTCCACCAGCCAACCTTTAAGCATATAGAAAAATATGTGGGGCAGTCATGACGAAAAACGATCAAGAAGTTAAGTTAAATAATAAAAAAATGCAATTATATAGATATATATGTTTTGCCATATAAATTAAAATCGCTATAAAAAATAGGGGTTGATCGAAGAAGCGTGAAAATTTAGGTGTATATAACCCTTATAGCTTAGGGGTTTAGAAAAGTAGATAGTAGCCGATTCTCAGACCTACTGAATATGCATATAAAATTTCTCGTTTATGAGGAGTATGGTAACTAACATTGTGACAACAATTTCACATATAAGATATAAATATAAGTCAATTATCTAATATTAGGTCTCTCGTCAAATTAAATGCGTTGCTCTGTAAAACAAAGTAATTTTATTTAAACAATTTTTGATATAAACAAATTACAAATTATAAACGCGTTATTGTAATGCAACAAACATTACCTGTAAAACAAAGAAACGACATTTAATGTTTATTTGTCGATCTTTTTCCACTAAAACACTTTTATTTTCAAACACTCACAGTCTAGACACGCGGTAGCGTGTCAAAGCCGAGTTTAAATAAGAGAACTGGCGAGCAGCACCGTGTGTACACGTACCATTTGGAGCCATTTTTGACCCCCTCATAACTCAAAAACTCTTTCACATAAACCTGTCAAATTTGGTTCATATATTGAGACTTGCGAGATAAATATGTGTTTCAAATTTCATAAACATATCTCAAACGGTTATTTAGATATTAACGTCCAAATATCGTAATTTTTATCACTGATCAAATCTCACCTCTTTTGTCGTAGAAGTCAACAATCAAGGCATATATCGTAATATTGAACTCGGCTATCATTTCACATTTATGTTTTTGATGGGATCTCAGTTTCACAATCCACCATATTTTTGTTAATCTTTCACAATTAGCGCCATCTATTGGTCAATGAGAGAGTAATTGACGTTTAATAACGCGCCTAAAAGCAAAGCGTAAAGGGATGCTAAGTATTCCTTTATATACATATCATATGTATGTATATCTTATATATAAAATTATTGTGATTTAATTTATTTGGATTGGGATTTAAGTTACCCATTTACTTACACACAGCGATACTTGTGTCCTTTGATATACGTTTATGCCTCTTCTTTACTGTATGTTCCAAATAAAGTATATTCTATCTATCTATCTAATCTATACATATGAATAAAATTGGAGTGTCTTTTTGTTAATATTGAAATAAATGTTTTTTTACTACATGCATATGAATATTCATTATAACGATTCATACACCAAAGTAAATTATTTACAATTTTTGTCTGTCTGTTTGTTCCGACTAATCTCTGAAATGGCTGGACCGATTTTGACGGGATTTTTTGACAGGTAGCCGATTTAATAAGGAGTAACTTAGGCTACTTTTATTTAAAAAAAAATAAAGTTAATTTCCACGCGGACGAAGTCGCTGGTACAGCTAGTTATATAATACAATTATTTCCAGCCCCGTACGGTGTTCGAGAGCCAACAGAAAAAATTGGTATAGAACGGGACAACTATAGTTTGTCAGAAGAGCATCTGGTGAACCATGTTCCGTCTAAAGTGGGATATGAACTAGCTCACATCTATAGTGACTTGTTGAACTTCGCGGCGAGGCATTTGGAGATGGGCAGACGTCTGGTGTGCTGGTATCCTTTTGTAAGGTACAAGAACAAATAATCTTAATTTTTACTAATATTATAAACGTAAAAGTAGGGTATGTGCTTGTTACGCATTCACGCAAAAACTACTGAACCCATTATCAAGACATTTTGTACACATGTTCTTGGAGCTATTAGAATGAACATAGGATACTTTTTATTAAAAAAAAATTTACGTATTCAATGCGAGCGAAGCTGCGGGTAAAAACTAGTAATATTATAAATATAAAGTTGGTAAGTATGGATGTTTATTACTCTTTCATGCAAAAACTACTGAACGGATTTTGATGAAACTTTACAGTAATATAGCTTATGCATCAGAATAACACAGGCTATATTTTATATTGAAACTTAACGCGGTTGAAATTGCGGGCACTGCTGATATTAATAATAATCTCAGAGACAATCCACACAGCATCATCTAGACTAACTAAATGTTATGTCATGGGTACTAGGTAACTCATAGAAATACATAGATATTTTTTTCTTTCATAAATACATACATATTATACATAGTAAACACCTAGACTAATACAAACAATCATACTCATGAATACAAATGTTTGCGGTGCGGGAATCGAACCCGCGACCATCGGAAGTAAGTCAAGTTATATTAAGTTGTGTGTGAAGTTATATTAATACTAACCAAGCGTCTTCATGCGCACACTTCATGCAGTTTCTTGGTTATTCTTCTTGTGATGAGTCTGCATTCCGAATGAGTGCTAGAATAAAAAAATGTGACTATTCAGAAGTGCTTATATTAAGTTAAGTTGAATAAAGATTATTTCTGTTCTATTCTATTAACACATTTACAGGGAGGAGTACCAAGAAGATCAGCTGCCGTCGCATCCATGTCTGCAACTTGTTGCCAACTCCGAACAGGTCCTGTCTAAATTGACTGCCAGAAGACTTCTAACGTACGAAAAGATTCATGACGAAGTTCCCAACATGCCGCTCGATCCCAACGGTGGAGTTCACAATTTTAGGTAAATAAATACATCTATTACTCATCAATAGCTGCCTTTACACGTATGACCTTTAACGCGCAAATCGGCTTTCACGCAGGAAAGTATGTAAATGTAGACAAAAAGAATGAACGACCGGACGCGCCGCCAGTGAGGGCGTTAACGCATCCTTCAATTGTTCGTGCTTTAGCGCCTTTTTGTAATAATTAAATTGCAAAATTTATTTATTTATTTATTTATTCTTTTGCACACAAAAATGTATACAAGGCGGACTTAATGCCTTATGGCATTCTCTACCAGTCAACCGTCGCGTTGATCAGAGATAATAAAAATGTAGGATATCTGACTATGGAGCAAAGACAATTAAAGAGTTCTTGATAATTTCAGTGGAATGAAATATAAAATATTAGAAGAGTGTAAAATGACGTGAATGAGTCAATACAAAAAATAGTTGAATGCAATCACTAACGCGCTGGCTTACCGGCTGGCTTAATCGTGCGCTCTCCTAATCGCGCGTTAAAGAACTTGTCGTGTAAAAGCAGCTAATGGCTACTTTATTAGTAACAAATTTTCTATTTTAATTTAAAATTAGGATATAAATTATATAGCACCTATGTCTAGATATGACATATCTAAAATGCATATTATATACATACAGATACCACAGGTATCATAAGCGACAGCTTTATAAAAAATATCTTTAACGGAGGTTGGTATAAATATATAATATTTAATTTTTAGGGAAAAGTATTTCTGCGGGGGCGAGCAAACGCGACGAGAAAGGAAGGAAAGGCGTGCCGAAGAGTTAGCTATAAATGCCGCGAACAGAGCTCTTAAACTCAAACTTACATGACATAACATTATATAAAGTATAGTTGTTACACAATGAACTGGTTTTCTTAATGATTCCCCTTCCTTTCTTACTTAAATATTATAAATGCGAAATTGTCTGTCGCGTTAAATTTGATAATTAATTGATATAATATAATCGAGTACTTTAGACCCCCCGAAGGGGTTGAAAAAGGTTGTATGTAAGTATCGTCATTTAATTATCATTTAAAGCATGAAATTTATTTTTCGGCTGTTGATTATGTATTTAAACGTGTATGTAATATAAATAAATATACATATAAATTTTTTTATTTATAATTCTTTATTGCACCAATATTAAAAGTAGATACATAAAAAGAATATAATATATAACAATACATTAAAGAAAGAAGGTACAGAAGGCGGCCTTATCGCTAACGCAATATCTTTCAGACAACCTTAGGAAAGAGAGTATAAATAACAATAAAGTAGGCGGCAGATGAGCGTGGAAATAAGGTAATAAAATATAATATATAGATACACACTTACGTAAATAAATATGATATTCAAAGATTGTAAAATTTTAGTCTTAAGCAAAAAATGAAATAGTGGGATGAAAGTTTGTATGGAAATTCGTCATTCGTCGTCTATTCCACGGAAACGAAGTCGCGGGCACAGCTACTACTACTACAATACTATATAGAATTCTGTGGCAGAACCAGGAGGGTATAATAATAAAAACACATTTCTATTTGATAATAAATAATTTTAATAACTTGAATATGCATTGTGGTAACATAATAAACAAAGTCCTACATATACTTAATTTTAATTTTTCCCATCGTCTGTGTATTATGGATATATTTATTAACTACCATATGAATAATCTGTCTTTCATGATTAAAAAATAATAGTGACATATTTTATAACATTCTTGAGTCCATATATAACAAACAAGCTTACTAAGGCTCGTCAATTCAGATTTTTTTTTATAATAGACCCTATACACTATTGTTTTATAGGGAGACCTACTCGAATCTTGAACTTTATAAGATAATTTTCAAATAAATTTAGAGAATGACATTAAAAATATAATTTTATTTCATTACACGACATTATTATTCATGTTTGTTATATTTTTAAAATCTGATATATGGATATAACTTCCAATATACACATCAAGAAGATATTCTTTAGAAACCATAAAAACTTGTAAACTATACTTGTCATAGACAATGTAGATTACACAATCCCTACATTGTTCATCTTTCAGCTTTCTTAAAAGAAATGCAGAAAGAGTTTCGCTGTCAAATGTTTATATTAAGGGTATATACGTTTCTTAAGGGTCGGCGCGCACGTGACACCTCTGGTGTCTCAGGCGTCCATAGGCTACGGTAACAGTTTACCATCAAATGCACTGTATCCTTGAATGGCACCATTGTAGTATAAAAAAACCTTAGTGCGTCTCTAGACCGTACATATAATAATCAAATTGTTTGCTTATATCTAGTGTCCCATTAAGAATACAATGTAATATTGTAAAAAAAGGGGTAAGACTGCGTTTTCGTTCCACGGGTGAGTTATGGTAATAAATGACAGTTCCGATCCTCGTGCCTGCTGTAATCACTACGACTGATTTACTCTTATTTAGATACTCAACCAGTTAGTTGTGTATTTAATATTTTGAATCTATTGAACTAGGTGTATATAAATCTAATGTAAAGTTCAAACAAAATTATTAAAAGAGCAACACGTAAGTTTCTTGCTCTTACTTGTGATGAGCTTTCCGAATGAGCGGCATGTTAAAAATAAATGATGACTATTCAAAAGTGCTTTAATTTAAGTTTATATCAATAAATGATTTTATATACTATTCTATTGATAATCACCTATACCCGCACTATGTACATCACGTCACGTGAGACGCCCGCGATAACCCTAATGTGTTGCCATTCCGGAGCATTCATATGTCATGCCTTCATACCTTGTCTCACTCTCCAAACGAAACACATCTTACAAACCAATTTAAAAAATTACCAGTTAATTAAATTCCTAACCCGGATTAACCGTGAAATGTGCATTCATAATGGAACACATGTATAGTAAAGACCCGATTATCCGGCTCCCATAGGATTAGTGATTGTCCGGATTGTAATTTGTTCTAAATAAACACCTAGCATCATATATTAACAATTACCTGCCGAAGTTTTCTCGAGATTATAGAATGGGTTTTTTTTAAAGAAACCCTTGATATTTGAATGTTTCTTAAAGACCACAACGCGTAAACACCTCTAGTGTTTCAGGCCTCCATCATCTACGATAACCGTCTACCATTAGATGGGCCGTATGACTGTTTTCCACCGGGGTGAAGAGGATTGTTAGTATTGTACATTAATAACACAATTGCTAGCAATGTATAATGTCAGATTGACTTCCAAGTTCCCCCTGGAAACCATTGTGATATATTCATGGTGAATTTACCACAGGCTAACTGACCTGACCTCATGCTCCTCTTATCGTCCTCCACTGGTGCCCCGTCAGTAAACAGTTAGCGCAGGCGGGTTCACCAGTCCATTATCATCCATAAGACTGTTTTCCGTCATTGTGATATAAATAAAAAAAAAAAATAACCCAGTAAAATAACTATATAACGAACAATAATGTAGTAAAATACAAGAATGGTTGTTACATTTCTAAACTTATTAATATATAGTATGTATGTACAAAAACGACTTTTGATACACTCCATTATCCGAATGTGACATACAATCATGCCGGTTAATCTAGTTTTTACTCTACATGGTAATAAATTAGGTTCATTCTGTAATGGCGAGCGCCACCATCATTTGTGAGAGCCCCGGCGCTGTTGGTGCAGTGGCTGCGGCGCGAGCTTCCTGCTGCCTCTTGGTGGCTTGCGACTGCGCCCATTGGCACAACTTCCACACTTCCTTACGTTTGGAACTGTTACCTGATGACTTGTAGTGGTTCAGCAGGTTGTTTGTCGCCTAAAATAAATATATTTTAATCTTAATAATATTTTAAACGCTAAAGTTTGTAAGTATGGATGTTTGTTACTCTTTCACGCAAAAACTATTGAACGGATTTTGATGAAACCTTATAGTAATATAGTTTATTTATTTATTTAATTAAGCATACAAAACAGATTACAATCAATATAATAAGATAATTAGGAGCGTGTAGTTCGGTACAAAACTGGATTGTAATCCAACACAACATGCCTAAAAGCTAAATTATATAGACGCATTCAATATACGCTAGATAGCTAGATAAGGATATATAATGAAAAGTAAACTAAACAGAAAATAATGTATAACTACGTAATGCAATGAATTATCATGTTAACAGAATTTTATGCATCACATAGGCTATATTTTATATTGAAATATAGAGCGAGTGAAACCGCGGGTAGTATTGTATAAAAGTTAACATAATAGTTTTGCAAAATCACTTACCAGGAACAGGCCAAGCATAGCTCTCATATTGTCAGGATTGAGTTTCAATGCTTGACAGTAGTAAGATTTCGCCAATTCCATGTTTTCGATGCCTCCCTGAAACAACAGATGAAGTAAGACCAAGCGCAATCTCATTATTAATAAAAAAATAAAAAAAAGCAACAAATTTTATATAAATTGTCTGTCTTGTTAATCTTCACCCTAGATCCCTTTCTTTGTGGCTGAAAGATCCAATTGCCACTATAATGAAATGTGCCACACTATGCTTACATCATACACTGACTTAGTTCACTTTCATAACTTGATTTTACAGAACCAGTGGTCTTTTCTTGTATGTAGAAATAGAAATAATCTTAATTCAAATAAACTTAATATAAGTTTGAATAGTCATGTTCTTTAAGAAATTATCAATAATTATAATTATCTCTGATTGAAATGACCCTTCCTTTACTCTCGGTATCGTTTATTAATTTTATTACAATGATGTTGTGTTTATTTGAATTGTGTAGAGTATTGAAATGAAGCCGTTTGTTGCCAACATCACGCCGTTAGTTTTATTTGCGCCCAGTCGTCAATAGATGGCGCGAACAATCTCTTTCTTTCATAGTCAGATGTCCACCGCTCTTAATTTTATAATTAACAAGCAGACCCACGCGTTGCTGTTCTAAGATTCTTGAATAAAATAATATTGCGACTATAAATTGAGATGTAAGCTATCCTATCTTTCAAGTTGGATCAAATTGCACACAATGTGCAAATCAAATTTGCAATCGGTTCAGTAGTTTAGGTGTTGATTGCGGATAAACAACGTGATACGTAATTTTTATATATAAAGATGATTAAAAAAAGCGCTAAAGCACGCACTATTGAAGAACGCGAGAATTCACGAGTTAGCGGCGAGCGCGGTATTTCTCGTTCTACTTGTTTACATTTACATGTTCATTTTTTCCCGCGTAAAAGAGTGTAAAGGCAGCAATTTTATTTCTATGTACAATTGTAAACCGTTATAAAAGCACGTACCATGGTGTACCGTATATCTGCGAGACGCTGCTGCATAAGATGATTGTGGGGCTGGTGGAGGATCAACTCCTCAGCACAGTATACAGCGCGCGAATAGTCTTGCATTTGTAGATACAACTCGCACAGCTCCTGCCACGCCTCCACGTCTGATATGAATCTGACAACAACAATTATAATATAATAATAATCTCAGAACAAATCACACAGCGCCATCGAGACCTAAATAGAGAGAGAGATAGAGTAGAGTAGATAACTGATACAAATACATAGATTTTTTTTCATAAAGTCATACATATTATATATTAGATCCAAACTGATACAAACAATCATTCTGATGAATACCAATATTTGTGCCGTGCGAGGAATGAAACCCGTAACTATCGGAAGTAATGGGATGTCCTAAACCGCTACACCACCGAGACCAAATACTATTTTAGAAAGAGCTACTATAAAAGATACTAATTAAAATGAGCTCATGTTTCTATAGTCAAGTTTTTTTTTATATTAGTAAGTTCACTAACCAAAACAAAACCAAACAGACAGATGCAGTCAGAACAAGCAAAAAACTGGAATGGAAGTGGACAAGACATGCAATAAGAAGTAAGAAAGAGACATGGACTTAGGATGTCTTAGATTGGTATCTAAGAAAGGAAGGCGACAGAAAAAGAGGTGAGAGAATGATATAAGAGCAGTGACGAGACCCACAAGGAGAAGGAAAGCATTGGACAAAGGAACATGGAGTCAATTGGAGAAGGACTATCTTAAGACAAGCTGACGGACCGAGGCAGTGACATAGTAATAAACAAAAACAATGTTAACTATAACTGGACTATCAAATCTGGCCAAATCATCCTAACGTGCTGGCCTAGCAACTGATAGTCCTCGACAACATACGTCGCCTACTGGCGTATAAGGCGTAGGTTACTGGAATCCGATGACCAATTAGGACGTCCTAAAGAGACGATGATTCTGCTGGAAATCACACTCTACACGCGACGTAATTTTTACCACATATGTTTATAGTCGACTAACTGCAGGACACAGAAAAAAAATCAGTACCAAGGCGCGCTACAGAGTCTCCTTTGTCGGGGCTGCTTTAGAGCCAAAGAAACGGCCGCTTACATAATCCTGGAGTGCACAGCAGTGGCCACACAACGAACACATCTCGAAACGGTGAGATCGCTCCGCGAAGCCTGTAAGGACACTAGGAGGCTTCTGCGTTTCTGGGAGAAGCTTGGCTGGCTACTTTAGTAGTCTCGGCTCTACATGCACAACGGTTATTAATAACCAAATTAGAGGTTATTTGCGGAGAAGAGTCCACATTACATTACATTAACAATTCAAAGGCTGTAAATAAATAAATTACTTACTTCTTTAAATAGTCAACTAAATCTTCAATGGCCTCTTTAATCTGCCCTCGAGCTTTGCGTATGGCTATCATCCTTTTATATACGGCCGAGTTTGTTTCATCTGCTCTAACAATTTTGTCCAAGACCTCGACAGCTTCAGCATATCTAAACATTAAAAAAATATATAATAAAGAAAATTAGTGTTGTGGTATAACTTGGTTATTGGTATAAATGTAGAGTGGGAGTCATATTAAGCAGTATCAGTATAGATTTCAGGTTATATAGTAAATGTTAATGTAAATATTACTGATGTAATGCTGAGTATATGTTTTTAACCCATCAAAAACATAAATGTGAAATAAGAGCCAAGTTCAATATGATATAAGCCTTGGGGATGTTGACTTCAACGACAAAAGAAGTGAGATCTAAATGGGTGCCAAGTTCAGTGGTCCATCCTGAAATTTATTTATAACAACATAAAATATAATTTCTTCTGATAACTGAGGATAATATATTGTAGCCTAAGGTCTGACTTGGCCAGTTGTCATGTTATGTTAACACCTTGAAGTTATTTCTATTTCAAATTTTGCTCAAGTATTCTTATGTAATTAAACCTTTTCATACAAATATTGTCAGGAATATCAATGAAATACATTAAATACACAAATTAACAGTAAGGGGCCGTTCCAGTATTAGGCAAGCAGATTTACTACAATTATTTACCACCCCCCCCCATCACCCTTGTCATCAAAATTAAGCAAAGCTTACCCCCTCCCCCCATAATTATGTAAACATTTTTAAATTTTGTAATTTATTAGCAAAATAAAGTGAGGGTTGCCAATTGTGTAAAAAAGTAAATAACTACTGATGACGTAATCCTTAGACTCTCCTACCCCCATGTCATCCGAAATAAGCAAAGTAATGACCCCCGACCCCCAAAGGCCCCTAAATATAAAACAGGTACCAACTTCTCTTCGGCTTCAAGTCGTGCAGCCTGGTACCTCTTGACTCTCAAACTTCCAGGGAACTCGTTTGAGAGAATATCAATACAGTAGTTTGCTACACTGTAACAGTGACAGTCCAAAGCAGCATATATCACCTGCTCCAGCAGTACATGCTCTGGAAAACATTAATAAATCCTTACTAATCTATACATATAAATAAAATTGGAGTGTCTGTTTGTAATATTGAAATAACCGTTTTTTACTACATACATATGAATATAAATACTGTATTTACACCAAAAAAAAAACACATTTTTAATTTTTTGTCTGTCTGTCTGTCGATCTGTTTGTTCCGGCTAATCTCTGAAATAGCTGGACCGATTTTGACGGGACTTTTATTGGTAGGTAGCTGATGTAATAAGGAGTAACTTAGGCTTTAGACGAAGTCGCGAGTGCAGCTAGTATATATAATATAGATGCGAAAGTAACTCTATTGGTCTGTCGCGCGCGACACCAAAACTACTGAACCGATTTAAAGGAAATTTGATACACAGTTAGTACCTTAAGAGAGGACATATGCTACTTTTTAATGAAAAGGGTTGTTAGGGTTGTAAGTAAAGAGGGTTGAAAGGGGAGATGAAAGGTTGTATGAAGTATCATCATTGTTTAAAGCCAGAAGCTTGAAACATACTTTTTAGGATATTAATTATTGATTTAATATAAATAGATATAAATAACATTTGTAGATTGTAAAAATTGGATCCTTAAGATGGTAAAATAAAATATGGGATGAAAGTTTATATGGAATTTCATCAAATTTTAAAGCTAGAATGATAAATCTTGTTTCTTTGGCTATTGTGGGTTAGATATTTAATGAATAGAATAGAATAGAATAATATTTATTACTATCACATATCACAACACAACAATGACGATGCTCACAGCAGCATATAAATTATTATAACATATAAATAGAAATAATAAATACAATACAAATCATTAGGATAAAAAAAAATGCTATCCAAAGTTATTTCATTGCAACGAGTTTGCAATCACAGCTAGTCTTATATATAAAATTCTTGTGTCACAGTTTTCGTTCCCATACTCCTCCGAAATGCCTTGACCGATTCTCATGAAATTTTGTGAGCGTATTGAGTAGGTCTGAGAATCGGCCAACATCTATTTTTCATCCCCCTAAACGTTAGGTGTAGTACACCCCTAAATTTTTTTTTTATTTTAATAATAATAATAATAATAATAATATATTTATTATATTTTATGCACATAGTTGAGCCTTCTTGATATGTTAACACAATGACAGGAATAATTTAAATAAAACTATGTGCACTCAGTGCACTGCAGACTTACATAGTCATTTACCAATCCGATTTTAGTACAAACAAAAAAATTGTTGATCTTGTCTTATCGTCCTCCACTGGTACCAGCTTATACCATTAGTGTTAAGCACCATACTATTATAATCCATTTAAATTAATATTTTATACAAACTTTTATGTAAAGAGATGTAAAGGGAGGGGACGCCCTAGGAAAAGATGGATGGATTGTGTGAAAGATGATATGAATAAAAGAAGAGTATGTTCAGATATGACGACCGATAGAGAGCAGTGGAAGAGAATGACATACTGCGCCGACCCCAAATAATGGGATAAAGGTGAGGCAATGATTTTATACTAACTTTCATTGCCCACTTTGTCCAGATTTTCACTGAGCACCGTGAGCCACAGCTCCATTATTTCTTCACTTCGTCTCTCATTGCTCTCACGCCATTGTCTCAATAAGTCTCGTGCTTCTGAATAATAATTAAATACATATTAGTATCCTATGTGAGTATCCTTTCATTTATTGCTATTGTAACTATACCTGCACTGAATTGTATAAACCAGTGTTTCCCAATTTTTTCAGTATGATGCCCCACCTCAGTTTTTCTTCTTATGCCCCTCTCCCCCCCCCTCTCCCATATTCAAATAGAGGGGAGGGGCATAAGATTTTTAAGTATACTTATTACTTCATACTACATATTTTATAACATTATAAAATTTCATTGTTAACTTAAGAAACTTAAGAAATAATAGGAAAACTTAAATAGAAGAAATCACTAGGAAATTGTTAATCAAACAGTAAGTAAATTTTCGAAATATAGATAAAAATTGAAATTCACTTTTTCGAATCGCCGCCTTAATCAAATTGCTACCAGAACCTCCCCCCCGTGTGGCGTGGGCCCCACGTCGGAAAACACTGGTTCACATTCACAAGCTTCCAAGCAATAATAATTGCCTGATGATGCCGATTCAGTGGCGAAATAGGTACGTGTCGCAATATGGGTGTAGGTATAATAATGGTCGGAAATGTTTCACTAATAATTAAGGTCCTAACGATGCCTGTATCAAACTTACTAATGGTAGCGGCAATAAACAAAATAATTTAGATACATTTATAGTTAAATAACGCCTATAAGTAATTGAAATAAAACTAAATAGATAAAAAAATACGTAAATTTGATTAATGGTGAATAATCATAGTAATGGCAATAAAACATTTGAAGGAAACTTATTATAATAGGATATTTTACTTTACAATTACAAAGGCATGATTTCGGTACAGTAATATGAAATATTGTTTTTACAAATTACAAACCATCAAAACTGAGTTCTTCGTAGTTGTAGGACATTGTCACTTTTTTTCAGATACAAATAAATAATTATATGCAAATATGAACATATATTGGGGTAAAAATTTTATAATTTATTTAGAAATTTTAGATAAAATTATTATATTAGTGGTAAACGTTGACAGTTGTGATATGCCTGTGTTTGACCTTGACATATATAATTCTTGACAGTATTCTGTATTCCACAGATGAGGACACACATTTCGGTATTCTTGATTTTAATGAACCATAGACACATAGAGCAAATGGTCACTATGCTTTTCACAGAATTTTTTATTATTTTTGTGATAAGTATTTTGTCATTAAGCAAACACTGGTGCTTATAAATACATACTTCTAAAAATAATGATACTTATATAATACAGGTATATCTATCCATTTGAAGAAATTCACAATCATTATCTATGCTAAAATTAATTCAATAAGAATGTTTTTTTTTATTACATATGCCATAGACTCAGATTAAATTAAGCATAGAGCACAGGTTCATGTTTCAATATATTCCAATGTACGCATATAATGATTTCACTTAAATATGGAGAAAAATGGTTACTAGTAATTATATAGGCGTTTTGAGACCGTGCCACGAATACACGTGCTAGAGTGCGTGTATAGGAATAGAAAGTGTTGTGTGTTGTGTACTTGTAGTGAACGAGACGTCTGCAATATGTCTGACTATTTGGAAATATTTTTAGATTTAGCTTAGCCCTTAACATTAAAGACATATTTTAGAATTACTGATGCCATGGATTACACATGACAAATAATAAAAAGGGGTAAGATTTCATTTCCCTTTGTAGTAAAACAGTAGAATAATTTGTTCCTTGTAATAAAGAACGCTAAATTTTTTATGTCTCAATGGCCTTTATCTCGAGTTTTTGTTTTCTTTTGTCCTCTGTTCGCATGTTGTACAAATTGGTGTCATGCGATGTCTTGTATTTTACCTTGTATATTTATGTAGTGTTATTTTGTCTGACAGATCGATAAGGAGACGACTTTCAACGAAGATATGTGTTGTGAGTTATAGCTGAGCCTTTCGTGTGAACAGTGGATATGCGCGTCACGGACATTGTTCGAAGTGTTAGCTCGGAGTGAGTGCGCGTGCTGTGACGACACGTTATTGATATTCCCGGCGGCCGTGATACCTGCAGCGCCGCCGGCTACCTTTACGTCATTCATTGATTCGTGAATTACTAAAATGGATCAACTCGTGCAGTGCCCCGTCTGCACCCTTTACCTTCATAATGGGATGACGCTGGAGTCCCATTTAGACACGCATCCTAAAGATCAAGTCATAAAAGCATTGTGTAGTTTGACATCAAAGGGTAGCAGTTATGGAAGCAGAACATCTACACCTTTGCATTCTGAACGGTCATTTAGAAGCAGATCTCGGACACCGGCTACAGAGGACAGGTGGAGTGGTTCACACCGTGGTGCAGATCAGGACAGGTACTGGCGCAGAACACCTAGCAGAACTCCAAAGACCTCATCAATAGCAAGTGCATCCAGAAATGGCACACCTGACATTAGAATTGGAGAAATAAATTTTGATAACAACTCTTTGACTCATAATAATGCAAACCATTATGGCAACACTCCATTTGTGATGAAATCAGATAAAATGCAACAAACTTATCAAAGCCCGGCATTGCCTGAATTTGATCAACAATATATGTACTACCCAGATCAACAGGATGAAAGAGAGGTGAAATACTCTAGGAGTGCGGAGTATAGTGCATTAGATAATACTAGTGGTGTTTTTACATATAATATGCCATCTATAGGATCTGGTGTAAAGTTACAAACAACATTGCTACCTCCAGTGCATAGAAGAGGAAATGATGGTCTTGTCAAAATATTACCAAAATCAAATAATGTATTTGTCAAGGCCAACATGGGTGGGGTGCAGTATTTATCTCCTGGTGTCAAGCCAATGCACGTCATGGTGCCTACTACACCTACATTTGTACAGAAGAATATTCAAAACAATATGGTTATGACTAGTGGCCTACCCACTACTCAGGTTCTTGAGACTAAAACTGTAGCTCCTCCTATGGGCAGTAATCAATTCAACCAAATAACACCTAATACCTTTACACCAAGCACTACAGTAGTTACTCAAAACTCACAGATAATTTATCGAGAAATGCTTCACAATATTGATGGAAAACCATTCATATCAAGTGTGCCTGCTGTTTTAAGCCATGAAAATGTTACTAATGTAGCTCAGGCTGGTTCTCTGTACCAAAATGTAATGGTTGTTGATCAGTTTGGTAACACCTCATGTATGTATACTGCTCCACAGCAAATTATCCCGAAAGCTTGTAATACTTCAATTTATAATGAAACATCACACTTACCTACAGCTCTTAACAAACCTGTCTCTAGTCATGATTCCAATAAGACATTAATTATAGAGGTAGGACCAATAGTCCCTCCCACAACAGTGGATGATAGTGATTCCAGTTCAATACAACCTATTCAATCTGAGGTAAGCAGACCTCAGAGCAGTAAGTCTGAACAACCCGAAAGGACAGAATCCAGAACGGAAACTCCAGGGTCAAGTAAAGGTCTTAAAATATTGAGCAACATTAAAGTGGAAGTACCGGTGCAGCATCACAAGAATATGGTAAACACTGTAATGGACTTGACTGGAAGTAATGACTTGGAGCCAGAATATATAGACCCACCTGGTACACCCGAAAAGATTGTACCTGATCTAGAAGATACTCCTACAACTTTGGTTGAATGTACACAACCTGCCGTATCAAGTGGAGAAAGTTTGATCTCTTCACACACATTTTCTGTGATAAAAAATGTTGGTAATCCTCCCTCATACAAGGATGCAATAAGCAAATCTTCTGTAGTTGATAGTAAGATGGAGACAGAATTTTCAGATTCCTGTCCAGTTCCAGATTTAATATGCAATGAAAAGCCTTCAGTGTCACCTTGTAGTGAACTGTCTGAGCAAGGTGAGAACTCCACTGACCGGACCTCAATATCGCCTAAGCCTCACAACAGTAAAAGTTGTACAAATACTGTAGAAAGTAGTACAATTAATAAGTCCCTAATACTGCCACAAAAGCCTGTTAGAAACAACACATTAAGACTGAACAATATTTATGTGAAAAAGCATAAGAAGATTCTACAGATTAAGAATGCTAAATCATTTCCTGTAAATAGTACTTCATACCAAATAGATCTGGAGCCTGTGGCATCGGCTTCTACTAGTAAATCACCTGAGCATTATACAATGAACAAAATTCATCACACTGACAATACTGATATAAAAGAAAATAATAACACATTAGAAACTATATCTGTAGAACAGATTATTGACCACAATCGAAATGAAAATGACTTTGATGCTGATACAGAGGAACGGTCTAGGGACATTGAGCCTGTGGCGCCATCAAGTATGACCAACTCTGATCAGTTTACAACAACTGTAGAAGTGAAAGAAGAAATTAACACTAGCAATGAAGAAGCATTTAGCAGTGAAAATAATACGTCAAATCGGGTGTTGACGCCACTTGAGACTCTACGGCCCATTAATGTAATAACTTACGGTAATATGCCGCCAAGTGACTTTGATGATGAATCAAATCATAGAGAATTGTTGGAGCTAGAAGCATCTTCTAAAAATAAGCAATTTGTGAACATGATGACTGATAACTATTTCGGTGATAATATTTATGCAGATTACTTCACAGCGGACCGTGTAGGGTCATTTGATGCTGAAAGAGGGGAGACATCTTTCGTTAAAGATATCCCAAAAGATGGAATTTATATCTGGGGGGAACCATCTCAGAAGGAGAGTGAATTTGTTTTGCCAAATTTTATACATGAAAGCTATAAGATAGCTGAGAGCAATGGTATTGATTATTCCGACATGGATAGAGAGGGACACTTAGATGGCGACGGTGATGCTTGTGATCGAGATAGCAAAGCTGATGTTCTGAGTGAGAGTCACAGTATAGGTGAACCACCATTGAATATTCATGCGGATGAACGAATGCCGCCGCGGGGGGAGATCAGCGGCCAGGAGAGCAATGGGGATATGGAATCACCGTGGAGTGGCGTAAGTATAAAGAGACTACAGTAGAATCTTCCCATATTGTGTTCAAATATTCATAACAAAGTATGGTATTTTTTTAATGATGGAATGGTGCAATCGCCTGCACTAACGTTTTGCGTTGGCAGGGCACTAGTGGAGGATCATAAGATGACATGAGGTCAGGTCAGCTACCCCATTGTGACAAATTCACCAAGAATTTGTCGCAATGGTTTCCAGGGGGAACCGCATGGAGGTCAACCTGTCATGGTACATTACTAGAAATCCCCTTCTCCTCCAAAGTATGGTATTTCAAATGGTGTTTACCATGATAATGGCAAAAGACAAAGTATTGGCAACAATTGGCAATCGACTCTGACTACTGCTTCTGGGATAACCATTCTAACAGTATTTATATATTATATTTAATATATTAATGTGTATATACAATAAAAATATTATTTTCATCTTAATGCGAATTGAAAATGATGTTTTTCGGTATCTTTTTTCTTCTTAAGATGTAGTGTATTTGGAAAGTCCAAAGGAGATATTTCATTTATGCATAAGTGGGCTACAACCACATAGAATATGTTATTATGTAGTGGCATCCTCTTCTGCTTGGCAAAATTTGCAGATTGTTGTTATGCTGAGGCCTTATTTTGCCATGTGTTTATTCAATTCAATATTGCGGTTTCCAGTGAGGGCTCTAGGCATGATGCTTATATTGTTTTGACTCAATAGCAATAGTCTATTGGACTATTGTTTCAAATAGCCCGTTATTAGGGCTTTTGAATGCACTAATCATGTATTACAGGAATTACAGGACCCTACTATATGTGAAAGAATTTTAAAAACTATTTATATAGATGTTTTTTTAAAGTAGTATTTTTTATTAATTACTGAAAAAATGGAAAGAGTTCTTGTTTATGATATAAGCTCATGTGAGCCCTTTTTTTTTTAAATTTATTATATATTTTTGGCAGATCTGCGATTTATCTGCAATTTTTTTTGTGAATTGTGTTTGTAGCGTGTTGACGTGAATTACAGATGTATTCGGACGTGGCGGCTGCGCAACCGTGCGATTTAATTGCACGAGAGAGCTGGGTCTCCGATGGCTCTGAAGTGGACGCCAATGAGAAGCGTGACACACTGTTAGTATCTTTAGCAGCATTTAATAGTAATAAAGCCTTTTGTTTCATAGTTAGGGTACATTCTGTAGTTTACAGAATACTATAGAATATAGAACAACACACAAGTTTCTTGCTCATTCTTCTTGTGATAAGTCTGCGTTCTGAATGAGTGGTAGAATACATAAAAATGTGACTATTTAAATTGTGCTCACATTAAGTTTATTTGAATAAAGATTATTTCTATCCTGCAACTCGGTGTGCCTTCGGCATAGGATTCCTCCAGCACTCTCCATTGAGGAAAATTTACTTCTGTCTATTTCCCGATGGTCTAACGGTTTACCACACTGCTGCTTTCCGATGGTCGCGGGTTCGATCCCTCGTACATACATACATTTGTGTGATTGTTTGTTTGTTTCGGTTTGGGTGTTTCAAAGTATTCTGTGGATAATGGAATGATGCAGCCGCTTGGGATAATATTATGTTTACGCTGGCGGGGTACCAGTGGAGGATGATAAAATGAGCATGAAGTCAGTCGTTTGGCCCATCTTGGCAAATGGTAATTTACCACGATGGTTTTCAAACGGTACTGCGTGAAGGTCTACTTTACATGGTACTTTGCTAGCAATGGGGTTAGGTACCAGTCTACATTACTTACAGTCATCTCCCCCCTTCCTATATATATTTTTTATATATGATAATGGAATGATACACCCGTCTGCACTAACGGTTTACGCTGGCTGGAGAGTGGAGGGTGATAAGATGAACATGAGGTCAGGTCAGTTCGCTGATCATGACAAATTCATCAAGAATTTATCATGGTGGTTTCCAGGGGGAACCGCGTGGAGATCAACCTGACATGGTACATTGCTAGAAATGAAATTATTAGCTCACATTACTAACAATCTTCTTTCCACCCTTTCAAGTATAATGGATTTAAAAAGAAACTCTAAGTATTTGTATCAGCTCTCTAGTACCCATAACACAAGCTCTGCTTACCTTGGGTCTAGATGGCACTATGTATTGTCTACGGTTATAATTGTTATGTATTCTAATTACAGGGAGGATGAACTGCAGTACTCCAAGAAAATGTACTCGTGCAACAATTGCAGTGTAAAGTTTGCGACGCCGAAGGAGCTCCGCGCACACAAGGCTCTGATGCACGCGCTGCCGACCTGCTCCGTCGCCAAGACCACGTACAGCCGCATGGTGACTGCAAGGACCATCAAGAAAGAGGAGAAACCTGATGACAGTATTACCAGTAAGTATTTTTTTTTTATTTTTACCAGTAAGTTATTTTTTTTCAGTTTTACCAGTAAGATAATTTCTTTTTCGTTAACAGTATTAAAAAAATTACACAAGTGAATCTGCATTCCGAATGTTATAGGAATATAATCACGAAAAAGTAACTGTCAGTGAAATAATTACTAACTGTTTCTATACTATTAACTTAATAATAAACCGTAAATTCTGGTTTTTTCATTACATTTCTTCTCACATCTACTGAATTTGCACATACATTTTCATAAAAATCGGTCAAGCCATAGGTCAAGTTATAGGTTGACTTTACCAACATTATAGATGTTAAATATATCTGCCATGCACAGACGGCAATAAGATAAAATAATGTACTATATTACATAATCATATAAACTCTTTCAGCCAACCTTCTATCGCTGACCACAAAGGAATCAATAACATCCACGATATTGCAAGTGTATGATGTGATGAACGAAGCCAAACCAAAACTTGAAGGTCTGATCAAACAGGAGACAAAACGGAGACGCAAGGATTTCATATGCCCTACTTGTAAGATAGACCAGCTCTCAGATATAGCATTCCATGCTCACCTCAAGATACACCCGCTGGAGTGTCTCACTTGTGGGAAGTGTTTCTTCAAAAGAGCCAACCTAGCACTGCATATCAAAACGCATTTAGGAATTAAAAATTACAAGTAAGTTATATTACGTCTTACTAATCTTACCTTTTAACCTGTCTCGCTTTCACGCCAAAACTACTAAACCGATTTAAATGATGTTTGGAACACAGATAGTCTAGATACTGAGTGAACTTTTTTATTTATAAGTAAATTGTATTATTTTGTAAATATCTTATCCTCGTGGCTTCATCTGCATCACACTTACTTGACATCATTATCTGCCAATTTACACAATATCTTTAAATTGCATGTATTATTCTGATGTATAACCCTTTGAAAACTGGCGTGCACAATTAGACATAAGATATAATTTAAAACGATTTTATAAATTCCGATTGAAAACTATTGTATTAATTTGTTCACTTAATAACTACTCAATTTTGAAAAGTTTAAGGCAATTAATTATTTTTTAAGTCGTTAATTAGACTTATTATTTTTTATAGTCTCCTTATTATACTTTAGTCACATGGAATTTACCAAATCCATCGGATGAAAAAAGTAATTCAGGTCTGAAAGGGTTAAGCTATATTCATAAAAATCCATTCAGTAGTTTTTGCTAGGAAGAGTAACAAACATTCATTCATTTTAATGTGGTTTTGAGAAATAGACAGTGTGATTCATGAGGAAGGTTTATATGTATAATACATGCGTGTTATAATATAGAACAAGCCGAGTTTTTTTTATTGGGGGGTTGGGCTATTATCAGGCGCTGCACTGTAACACTGCGACCTGTACAGATCTATTGTGCCTGCCCTTATTCAAAATACGCTTCGTAGACCCGTGATGGAGAAGAATTGGAGAATATACTGAGGAGCGATGGTTTTTACCTCCTCAGGATAACTTTCTGACTAATTCTCCTATGATTGATAACACCGATGACAGAGACATGTTTGTAATCAGTGAAATTACAGAATACGCAGTTATGGAATGATCCTCCAGTGATGGTATGAAGTGGTATATAAAGAGTATATAAATTCTTACATTATTGACGTCATATCCCGAGCTTCCAAGGGCAACGTCATTTATCTATACATCTATACATATAAATAAACTTTGAGTGTATTGTTGTAATATTGAAATAACCGTTTTTTACATGCATATGAATATAAGAACGGTACATACACCAAAATAACATTTTTACAATTTTTGCCTGTCTGTCTGTTAGTTCCGGCTAATCTCTGAAATGCCTGGATCGATTTTGACGGGACTTTTTTTGGCAGGTAGCTGATATAATAAGCGGTAACTTAGGCTACTTTTATTTTAGAAAAATAAAGTTAAATTCCACGCGGACGTAGTTGCGAGTACAGCTAGTTGTTATATATGTATACTTTCCAAAGGAAATATTTCGTTTATGCATAGTACTCATGAATACAAATGTTGCACGTGTGTCAGGTGCGAGGTGTGCGAGAAACGTTTCCTGACGCGGCAGAAGCTGTCGGAGCACCACAACACGCACACGGGCCGCGCGCCCGTCAAGTGCACCATATGCGACGACACCTTCCGACGGTACTCCAACATGGTGCAGCATCGGTACGTACCGACAAATATTTCTTTTATTATATAATATACTTTCATAAATACATATAATATATTTTTAATATTTGCCGCTTTTCGCAATATTATTGCATAAGACAATAGAGTATGAAAATAACTAAAATAGACTAATCTAGCAGTATACTGTCTATCTTTACACACGGTATAAGCTGCTAAACTCAGTTTTGCTGCAAGGCTCTGAATTTGAGCGCCCCATTTAGTTTTATTATCTAGTGTGATTCCTAAAAAGACAGTAGATTCTATAAATTCGAGAGGTTCGTCGTTTGATTTTATGTTGGAATTAGAATTGAAACATTTAGAGAGAAAAAATTAACACATTTTGTTTTCTTAGCGTTTAACATAATATAAGTTGTAACCCAGTGCAAAAGACGTCGCAAGGCACAATTTACAAGTTATTATAATTGTAGCCGACGTGCCTCGCGACTGCGAACCGGACCTGTAAAATAAAACTAAAATATTAATAAAAATAAAAACACATAAAACATATAGAAATAACCATAATGTATATATAAATCCATACTTACCTTTTACTATATATATGTATAAATTGATGCTCCACTGGTAAAATATATTGTTCGTTTGTAGGGTGTATCTGTAAAATTTAATGTTACATACCTGTATACCTACTTATTTGATAATTAAATTGATCCCACCGCTTGTGCGTAAATAGCGACACCTATAGCAGTTATCACTTCCCTCGCACCGCACTCGAACGCGTCCACTATCCTCACGCTATATATGCGCAAGCGACACGGACAGCTGTAAACTTCTATCGATTTTCATTACTGAATATTTCACCACTCCACGCTTAACTGTATCGGCTACAATAATTATAAGCCATTCTATTAATCTTAAAAATCAATGAAGTATCATCTGCAAATAATACTATTCCGCATCTATCTTGCATGGCAAACGGGACGACAATAATGTAAACTAGGAATGAAAATGGACCGAGAATAGACCCTTGAGGTACACCTTGCACAAGTGACTCGTAACCCGTTTACCATGTAAATAATAAAGTAAAGTAAAATAATAATATGTACAGACATTGTCTAAAGATCTCATTCCGAACTGACGGTAGATTTGACATATCATAAGAGTCTGTAATATACCTACATGAATGAAGATATTTAGAATTTTGTATTGTGCCTGTGCAGCGACCGCCATCACCTGCAGAAGAAGGCGAAGGTGCGCGATTACGTGTGTCAGTGCGGCGCGGTGTTCCACTCGCGTGCCAAGCTGCACTGGCACAAGGAGACACACGAGGAGAGGCCCAAGGCCTGCCTCTACTGCAGCGACAAGTTCGTGCACGCAGCTTCGCTCACGCGCCACGTGCGCCGCTCGCACAACGAGTACTACCTCTCGGAGCGGCTGCGCGGGAAGGTCGATAATGTGCCTTGTCCCGTCTGCAAACAGGTCAGTATATTATCACCAAAAAAATATATGTACAAGACAGATAAGATTGTAGTAGTTTGATATAGATCTATAGGTAATAATCGGGTATTAATCTTTAATAATATGATATTACATAGATAAACAAAGTCGCTGTTGCTGCATGTCCGTCTCTATGTATGCTTAAATCTTTAAAAATACGCAACGCATTTTGAAACGGTTTTTTCATAGATAGAGTGATTCAAGAGGAAGGTTTATATATGTAATACATGTGCACCTGTGCAAAGCCAGGGCGAGTAGCTAGTAATATTATAAATGTGAAAGTAGGGATGTTTGTTATGCTTTCACGCAAAAACTACTGAACCCAACATCATGAAATTTTGTACACATGTTCTTGGAAGTATTAGAATGAACATAGAGTACTTTTATTAAAAAACAAACAAGTATTTTTTATTCAATGCGAGCGAAGCCGCGAGTAAAAGCTAGTAATATTGTAAACGCGAAAGTTTGTAAGTATGTTTGTTACTCTTTCACGCAAAAATTACTTAACGGATTTTGATGACACTATATAGAAATATAGCTTATGCATTCAGAATAAGACATCTTTATTGAAATTTAACGCGGGTGTAAGCGCGGGCACCGATTGTAAAAGAACTATCATCATCGTATTTGTTGACTCTTATTTGAATAATTGATAATTTACTTTCTTAGTTTTATTTAGGTTTATATCTAAATTATTATCTATCAATTGAGCTTTAAAAAATAATTTCATTGTAACAAATGTTGATAATCACTAATCTTTTAGATTATTAGAAACCTGCACGACTATTTCCTTTTGCGGACTGCTCGTAAAATGCTATTTTTGTCCGAGGCACTGCTCATAAGCCGCCATCTTGTCCTCTACTATCAGTCATTAAATACACGTGCAAATTTACAGGTGTACCTGCGAACGAATCTACGAGCGCACCTCCAGACACACAGTGGTAAACGGCCATACCTGTGCATCATATGCAACAAGGCATTCACCACCAAATGGAACTTGAAGCTACACCGCTGGACTCACATGAGTCGCTCGGCCAAGCCGTTCAAATGCACGCTCTGTAAAGGGGCCTTCATTCGACACACCGAGTATATATCCCACATGAACGCGCACAAATCCGTCAAGCCCTACACATGTAACTACTGCGGCTGTCAGTTCATTAGGAAATACAATTGCCAGCGGCACGTCCGGGAACATGAAATGGCAAAGAAGTACGTGTGCAAAGTGCCCGAGTGCGGTAAGTCGTTCCATCGGAGCTATTACTTGTCTGAACACATGAAAGTTCATAGTGGCGCGCGGCCGTTCTCATGCAACATCTGTGGTAAAACATCCAGCAATAAGTCCAACCATAATAAACATGTGAAGATACATCACGCGCGGGAACCGGTCGCCACAGAAGCATAGACAATCGTGTTTTGTGCAGTGTTGTGTGCAATCTGTGGTCGTTGTGCGCCACTGTCTTGTTAGATTTAGTTGTTTATTATTGGGTTATTCCAAATAATTACTGTCAAAGTTATTCTAGAAAGGACTCACTCTCTGTTTTCCAGTGATCTACATATCGTATGAGGAGAGAGAAACCTTTGGTAGTAATTAATGGAACATAGAGAGATCCACGTTTTGCTATTAAAGTTTCTAGTTGTAAAATAATACTGTTTAAGTAGTCGTGACCTGATACTGATACTGATATGCTGGATTTACATGCTTGCCTCATTTTTTATTTGTAAATAACTTTGTTGGGATAAATGAACATGACTGTTATATATGATATTCTCGTGTCACAATGTTAGTTACCATACTCCACCGAAATGGCTTAAGCGATTTTTATGAAATTTTATATGCATAAAGGTCTGACAATCAGCTACTATCTATTTTTCATACCCCTGAGTGATAAGGGTTGTCCATCCCTTACAATTTTTTTTGGACAAAATTTTTATTGTTTATTTATTAATATAAATATGCATAGATTTTTTTTCGTAAATAGATATATGTTATACATATAAAACACCCAAACCGACATATACATAGAATACAAATGTGCGAGGAAATGAACCTGCCATCGGAAGTAAAGCGGGGTGGTAAAAGTTATACTATAAATTTGCTTGTTTGTGGCAAGATTGTAAAACCAGCATTCCATACCAAGCTGTGATCCAATTATGTAACAATCAAGCAATAATTTTGTTGAAGTGCCATTATTGATTGCAAAATGTGGTGTATTTATATAGGTTTTATTTATTTTCGTAACGGACAGTGGCCCACAATGGTCACAAGGAGCAATCTTGTAAATAGCTAGTTAAATGATTTGTGTAAATACAGGACCAAGTGCAGGACATTGAGGAGTATAAAAGCATTTTACAGTTATATAAATTGATAGATGTCGCGCTCAGGAGTTGTTTAACAATAGTTATGTTTAATATTTTATGTTTAGTACACGTTTATTGTGGTCTGTCGGGGTTTGACACGGATATTATTAGAATAAACTTTCTACAAACTCGTCTGCACATCTGTGTCTTACTTATTTCTAACGGCATACAGATGGTTTTGGTTAAAAACTTTTTCTTTTCTAAAATTCTTATAAGTACATAATTTACAAAAATTGAATGGTTCACTTAAGAAACTTAAATGATAGATTTTAGTAAGTAAATTTTCAAAATATAATAAAAATTGAAGTTCACGTCCCATGTAATTAAGTGTATTTAAGTAATAAAATGTATTTAAGTTTTTATATCAGTCATCTAGTACCCATAATATAAGCTCTGCTTACCTTGGGACTAGATGTCGCTGTGTGAATTGTCCTGTGTTATTAATATTAAATACGTATATAAAAAACAATAGTAAATAGACAGGCAAGCTCTAATATTGTGTAACTCCAAACTGACTAGTGTATCCTATTCGAAACAAAGTAAATACTTAATTTTTAACATTAATTTGTTCGTGTTAAGACCCAACAGAGTATAATAATATTTTGTTACCGCCCTACATCAATATTCTTATTGAGCTTAATATACGTGATGTAAATATGATGTAGAATAATTATACAAATCATATTCTACTAATAGACTTAATTATACTATCATAAAAGACTGCTTAAGCCTATAGATGCCAATAAAAATATATTTGCTTAATCTTCGAAGGTTGTTTCGGGTCTCAATTGGGGCTGAAGTCTAGATTCTTTTGTTCCCTTATTTATGGTAGTCTGTTTATGTTGGTCGATTGTCTATTATTACCATAACACAGTCATTCCAATATTACTTGAGCTCCATGGCGCGACATTTTGTTATAAGTATATTAGTCAAATTATAGGGCATTTCGGTATAGGTACCCCGCTATAGATCTTTATATATATTTTTTTTTTATCGGTTAGATCCTATAAAGTATGCATATTTCAATTTGAACAATACAGTCAACATTAATAGTAATTATAAATGAAATGGACTCTAATGCATAATAATGAACACTGTAAAACAATATGAAGACTCATCGAAAGAAGTCTAAACATTTCAATAGTAATATAAAGAAATTTTACTTTATTAGGCTGCTTATATACAGTCGGTTAGTTGCTGACAACGTACCGAGTATATATCAGCAGCCTAATAAATAGTTTTTAATGCTCATTTGATTTATATATAAGCAGTCTTAAATGTTTAGCGTTTTTATGAATCCCTTATAAAAATGCCGAATAACTTGTAGCTATTGACTTTTGATATCCTTTTCTTTCTGATGTGACAAAACACTGTAATAGGTAATGTGGGCTTGAGTTTTATAAAAATGTTATTTTAACTACAGATTTTTTAAATCTTACTTCAAGCTACTTGCGTAATTCAAAAGAATGTGACTGCAGTAGGTGTTGTCACACCTATGTGAGGTTTTCATTTTGTATGACTTACCATCTTCTAAGTTAGGGACATTTTTTGGTGATTATCAACTTGTACAACATAATGTATGTTTATGAATCTTAAGAAAATTTAAGATTTTTTTATTGGTTGACTGTTTTTTTAATTGGTTGTTTTATTTATTTCAGTATTGAGTTTTTTACTACTCTTATTCTAGAAACATAGTGTCTAGTGTCATAACAAAATTATACGTATAATACAATAGTATGAAAGTCTGTTATTGAAACAAATATTTATACATATAATACAGTGTACTCATATTATTGAGAGTAAAAAAAATATTTTAACACGTTGAAGACCGCATTAAAAATCTTATTTCTCACATAGTCCCTACTAGTAGTAGTCACGGTCCCTACCGGCATTTTTTTTATTATTATTAATTACTTACATTATCTTTTAAATATGTTTTAGTGTACAATAATTTGAGGTAGACGTTATTTAACCTTTAGATTTATTTCAATGTCTGTCAAAGTGCCTAACACACGGTCCCAACGTTATACATTTACTTTCGTTGCGGATTGACCCACCGGTGGGCATGCGGTTATTAACGTGTTAAATAAATGTACATCTGTAAAAACGCTAAACTAAATCGAATGCGGTTTCCACAGATGACATATTATTGGAATTTTCCTACAACGTTTACAATTCGTTTCATTCCAATCAATTCAAAATCAAAACAGTTAAATTAACATGTTATTCCGAATACCATTTTAGTCTTCGTTTCGTTCAAATAAGTTAATTAGCTATTGTTATATTTAGGCTTTATAACTCTTTGCCCAATAGTTTAACGATAATACTTAATTGGAAGCTTTTTAGGGGCAGGTTGCGTTGTTTTCTGTTGGAGCAATCTTTTTACAGTGTTGATGAATTTCTTAGCAGTAAAAATTGTATATTTTCCAATGCAATATAAATTGTAACTGAATAAGTAAATATCAAAAATGAGTCGTACAAAGTCGCAGGCGCAACTAGTATAATAAACGAGCCGTTCGCCGAGACGGATCTATTTATAATGAGGTCATCACTATCTTATTAATTAACAAACGGACGCAGAATCGAACAATGATATTGCATCACGTTACAGGTTCACAGGTTCTATCTGCGCCACATCATGTCATGTGGCCTGACGCGTGTCGTACGATTGGTGGATAATTTTAATTAAAAAATAAAATTCTAATTAAATTTATCTACCAGTCGTATGACACGTGTCATACAATAACACCTGATGACATGCTGTGGCGCAGATATATATTTTAGAGAGACTTATATTCGGATCTAGTCAACGTGAATAATAGCTACTTCGACTTAGATCTCAGAGTACTGTGTTCGGATATAGTCAAACTAAAAAAAAATCGAAATAATTTAAGAGATAGCGGTAAATTGAGCAACCAATTTGATAGTAATTATTTGCTAGAACAATGTCGCAATTCTAGATATTAAAATTCATTACCTACCACATTGAAATCAAATAAAAATATCATTATTCATGTAGGTCTATTACAGACTTATGATGTGTCAAATCTACCGGCAAAAAAAAAATACCGGCCAATATTTAAACGTCATACCTACCTTCTATTGAAGTAGAATCAATTTTATGCTACTTGTTTCTGTTATTTGATATAACTTAAAAGATGGAATAGTATTTATTGACCTCAATGTTAGAACTACTAAGCCACTTTCTGTAACTTATAATATATAGGATGCTACCAAATTATCTGAATTCTCTCTGACAAGGCATAGTTGTCGCAAAAGTCATTATATTTTTATACAAAAATTTAATAAAGGCATGTTTTGGTGTAAATTGGCCTTTAAAAATAGATGTTGCTGCTTTGTTCATAGTATGCTTTGGTAGGCATTAAGAGATATCAACGAAATAGATGACAAAGCTTTTTTTTACCAATTTAATGTGACCAAGAAATTATATCCCTTTAATATTTTATCTAACATTATAATCTGAAATAAATTAGTGCTGGTTGGTAATTTGTATTCACACATTTTGATAAAAATGTAAAGTTACAACGATTATTTCAAAGAGCAACACCCAAGTTTCTCGTTCTTCTTTTGATGAGACAGCATTCCGAATGAGCTGTAGATTAAAATAAATAACTATTTAAAAGTGCTTAAATTATGTTTATTTGTATTTTCTATTCTACTCTGTTCTGTGACAGAAATACAGATAATTTAACAGCACCATATATATACTCCAATAATTATAATGTTGACTGGCATATGTTGTAAAATTGTAAATTTGACGTGTAACAATATGAACTCCACCGAGGCTTGGTTATGAATGAAAACTGTTTCTATCTCGAACTGCTCAGGTAAATGTAATTGCCTTAATTATTAGTTAAGTAGTTAAATTTTTATTTATTACTATATGTTTATATTGTCACACTTACTTTAATTATTTACATAAGTAGTTATAATTAATACAGTTTAGTTCATAAGGTGTCATCAATAAATTATGTCACAAGAAATATTTTAGACGCTCTCCTTATGGTCACAGTTGCTCACATT